ATGGATTCCAACAGTTCAGCAATGAGAGTGTGGTGTAGGATGGGCTTACCGTCCGATTTAAGGAAATTCCTGTGTTTCCACAGCACCACAAAATCATGTACTACACCAAACGCATAGCGAGAGTCAGTGTGAACTGTGACTGTTTTACCCGTAGCCAGTTTACAGGCCTCGGTCAGAGCGATGAGCTCGGCTGCCTGGGCTGAGAGGTGACATGGCAGAGGACCTGAACACAGCACACCAGAGTCAGAAACAACAGCAAAACCAACACAATTTTCACCAGACTGAGGATCACGAGAGGCGGATCCATCCACATACATTACCATGTCGCTGTTAGTTAGTGGAGTGTCCTCTAGATCAGGGCAAGGAGTGCACTGAGCTTGGAGCTCAGCCAAACAGTTGTGGTCCTCCCCCTCCCCAGGAATAGGAAGTAATGATGCAGGGTTAAGGTTAGTACAACGTTTATAGTGACATTCGGCATGTCCACGAGACACGTGTGGTAGCGCAAATAGCGAGCCGCACAGAGGTGAGATGATTTCTGTTTGAGGAGAATCAAAGAAACCGTGTGCGCAATGAGCAGAGTGAGCGGTGCGTAACCCAATATGTCACGTGAGGCAGTGAGCGCCTTTTCAGCCGTGGCCACAGCGCGCAAACATTGTGGCAGTCCTGCAGCGACAGGGTCGAGTTTAGCGGAGAAATACGCAACAGTGTACACAGTGAGTTCTGTGAAACCCCGTAGAGGCGGAGCGCAGAACGAGCGGATCGATTGTCTCCTCCCAGTCAGTGAGAGATTCACACCGAGCCACAAATGGTCCCAAATCCCTCCATTGGTCAAGGCCTCCTTTAGACAGTGAGACATGGGGATAGGAGCCGGGAACTTGAAACAGTTCTTTCTGTGTGGGAGACAGAGAAACAGAGACAGCAGATTTACAAGTTGACCAGTACAAAGTAGAACAGGCAATTGCATCATTGAGGGCCTCAAAAAATGTCCCTTCAAAAGAGTCGTCTGGACCCTCTGAGACACATGTTGTGCAATGCAGGTGTTCAGGGTTCATACGTCTGCATGAGGAGAAACCCGTGCTTCACCAGCCTGGCTCAGCCTCCGAGCATCATCGATCGGGATCCACCACTGATACACAAAAAGAGGATTAGAGGGAGCCTTTTGCACCATTTGGAGTGCGGCTCTACGCCTAACCACTTTAAGGCCGTCTGGAGATGACGTCAAACAAATACCACATGTACACATCAAGTCTCTGCCCATCAGATTTATGGGACAGAGTGAAGAGAGTAAAAAAGAATGTTTTACTTTTATGTCAGCGTTTAGGTCAGTCTCGTCAGAGTGTACACTCGTCATAGGTGCAGTACATTTTTCTGTCACAGTCAAACTTGAAACCCCTTGAGAATATACATACCGCCCACTCATTTTTTGATTTGGAAAAGGTTTTTCTTGAATTACTGAATGAGTAGCTCCGGAGTCTACTAAAAACGTCAATTCTTTCCCTTCCACAATTACTCCTGTAGTTGGCATATCTTTGTATGCGTCTGATGAAAACATAGCATACGTGAGTGGTGGCGGTGTGGATGTATTCTGTTGCTGTTGCTCTAAGTGAGAAATGATGCTAAGCAAAACAGCATGTTGTTCTGCAGTGTGCGTGCGAGGAAGCAGGTCTTCATTGCAGCATTGTGTGTGTGTGTGTGTGTGTGTGTGTGTGTGTGTGTGCGTGCGAGGAAGCAGGTCTTCGTTGCAGCATTGTGTGTGTGTGTGTGGTGTGTTTCACTTCCCTGTTTTGGAGAGGAAGCAGTAGTCATCCCTTCACACGTGCAATCTCCATCCCACACACACCGTCAGTCTGAAGTGCCGAATTGTTGACCCCCTCTGTCGTCCGTGTGGCTGACGTACCAGGTTTGAACGGTAGGGGCAGTCTTTGTACCAATGTCTTGTTTTGCCACAGAGGAAGCATTCATCGGGTTGCACTTCTCGTGGGGCCCCTCCTTGAAAACACCCTCTTCTCCCATGATTTATTCCATACGCTCGTCCTCTCTGTTGGTCCCTCCCATAAGAATTTCCGGATGGGTGGGGGTCTCGTCCTCCTTCTGCACCCAGTCTCAACTGTTTTACGGCTTGGAGCATCGCAAGCTGGGCTTTCTCCCCAGTCTGCTTGCTGCGTTTGTCTTGACACATTTGGTTTTCCACATGCATTTTATAGTTGTGTCGTGCATGTTTTACCACTTCTGTGAGCCTTGCATCTTCCAGACCCACGACAGAGTGTTCAGTGGCAGTTTTGACGTCTGGCAGAAGCCCGTTCATGAAGGCGTTCTTAAGATGAGTTTCCCACACAGTCATGTTGGTTATGTCTGTGGGCTCCTCGAGGCCGCTGTGAATCTGAAAGGCAGCCACAAGACGCTGATAGTAAAATGTTACATCTTCGGCTTTACCTTGTTTCGTGCTGTTGATGAGTGCCATGTTGACTTGGAAGGCCGCAACCACAGCAGCACAGATGGCTGTTATGTCTTTGCATAACGTCAGGAACTCTTTTCCAAAAGCCACGCCATTTTCTATGGTGGGCAGATGGGAGGCAGGTAGTCCATCCTGTGGCCCTGGAACTTGAAACATGGGGGCTTGAATATAAGACCCGTCCAGTTTACTGTCCATGGTGGTGTTAGGACTAAGAAAATCCACAATTCTGCTGGCTGTGCCCCTCCAGGGGGATGGGTCGTAGATTGACCATGCAGAGTCCGGGGTGGACTGAGCTGTGGGGTCAGGTCTGAATGGGTTGAGGGGTGAACATGATTTGACGTCTGCACCTCCCTGGTCTCCCAGCCGGGTTTGACTGCGTGTTACAGGTCTGCCAACCGTAGGATCGGGGTTGTACGGTTGTGGTGATTGTTGGACTGGAGGTGGTGCAGGAATTGCGAGTGATAACACGTGTTCAGGAGAGGACCGCTCGCCCCTGTCAGGGATGGATACAGTGGAGAAGACACACATGGATTATTCTGTGTTTCAATGTCAGGTTTTTCAGTTTTTAAACACGTCATTTTCTTCATCATTCGTTTTCTCTCCCTGCATTCACATTCCATTTCCCATTGTGCCAGACATGTCTGGTTTTTCTCCATTATTTCCAAGTCTTTAACTTTGATCTTTTTACCACTTTTCAATTTATTTATTTTTTTTTTAACCTTTCTTCCAAATCCCCTCTTAACATTTTAAGTTTAGCGGCACTCAACGAGCCGTTTTCTGGAAACCCAAACTCTTTTGTCCAGTATGGGAGACACTCTGTACATGTTTTCCCGTATTTCTGCTGCATCATTGCCACAATCGGACCCGACGGTTTCGTGTGTTTTGCGGACTGGCCACCCATCTTTTACTGGTGGACCCTACCGGTTTACTTATTACAATACAGTCGTCACCGTAAGGCTTAGTTTCTTTACTCAAGGAAAAACTTTGCAAAAACCCCACTCTAAACTCACGCCTCGATTTTGCCACAATCTTGTTCTAAAGGTAATTCAATAGAACTCACGTTTGGTTAACAATAGCAGTGATATCGTTTTACCTGCTTCAGCATAAAATTCACGTATACTATTTACACGGTCTTATTCCACAGGTGAAATTCACGTTTGGTCAATAGCAACGGTCTTATTTTACCCGGGTAGTCAAGCGATCTCGGAGAATTTTTTCCGAGTGAAATCGTACACGATCCTATCTACCTTCGCATAAAATGATGCATTAGAAATATCCCGGAATCATGTACTCAAAAAAATATTAAAAGATTATTATAAGAAAAAAAAACACCCAAAATGTTAAAGAATAATTGTATTCCCCAGACTATAACAACCACTTGATCAGTCATCCGTCTCCGTTATGTTCAACTCTTACTGTTACTTTATAATCGGAAATTCAACTTCTTACCCGAGTTTGTAGAAATGAATTCTTTTTCGCTGGATACACGTGACGTCGATCAGGACTCCTCTGGTTTCCGCCGGTCCTTTCTCTCTTGTCTAAGGAGGTATGAGGCAGGATCATCAGTTGGTGATCCTGGAAAAGGCCTTTTCCCCGGACGGTCCCCTGGAGCCTGACGGACGGTCAGTGAATCCTGTTCGTGACGCCAAATTGTTGTGGAATATTTCAATAAAAGCTCGGTAGAAGAGAATGATTTGTCTGATAAAATAGAGTCTTGATGAATGATCAAAGTTGCAAAAAGTCCATTTATTGCTTGCAAGCAGGAGGTCAAATACACAGGCACGTATTACATTACATTACAGGTCATTTAGAAGACGCTTTTATCCAAAGCGACTTACATTACACTTTAAACCCATGGCTTTTTCACATTTTTGCCTGGGGAGCAATTATGGGTTAGGTTTCTTGCTCAGGGACACTTCGACATGGAGCATGGGGCAGCCTGGAATCAAACCAACAACCTTATGCTTCACAGCACACCTTCTCTACCCCCTGCGCCACGACGACCCACGTATCACGGTGCTCTGTCGAAATGGCGTCTCCGAGCACTAAAGACGCTGAGTTTTTATACACATGTGAAGGACATTCTCCGTGCCAGTTACGAGAAGCTACAAAGCAGCTTGAGATAAGAACCCAGGTGAAGCTGAGGGTAGCACACACACACACAAGATCCTCCTCAGTGGCCGCTGCAAATCATAATTAATTGACATGAAAGTAAAACTTGGATCCAGAACTTTCGTACAGAATAAGATATGAACCAAGGCCATGAACAGAAGTCCTTTGTTCTGAAGCTTCTATGAGATCGAGTCAACTGTCCTCCCTTCTCAGGACACAGCTGCAAACTAACATTTTGTATCATGCTGCTCTTTGCACATCAGGCTCAAATACAGGACACTGGAGACACGGCTTTAGTACAAAACAATGTTATAACATATTTTTACCATTACAGTTATCACATAATCCGCTTTCCGGAATACCCCCAGTAATGACCTAAAAGTTGATTACAAACAATAAGTAAGAAAGTAAAACCATGAACCTGAAACATTTTGATCTGCTGGAATTCTTGAATTATGAATTGATCATCAACTGGTACAATTGAAGACAACTTCTCTATGCCGTCTCAAAACATTAAGGAGGATATTGAGAGTTTCCATCAGTGTTTTCTTTTTCAGCCCCTTCAGTCTTCTGGGTTTTGTTGTACAGACATCAGCTTTCTTTTAAATTGCACAGACGGTTCTTCGTTGTCACGTCGTTTAGGTTTTACAGAAGAGGTCCGTTGTTGTACTTCTGGATCCATCAAAGGTGTTCTGGGCCTTTGTGGCACACTGATGGATTCAAGAAACAAAATGAACAAGTATATAATTGTAGATTTATTCTTAAAGGTTTGGATCAGTCATGTGCATATTAACTGTGACACACTGGTATTAGAACAAAATGATGATTAATCAAAAGATAAAAGTTACCTGTCCTGGTGTTTCCGTTTAAGACAAAAAACAAAGACAACAACAACAACAACAACAACAACACAGATCACTCCAACGACCAAACCAGTGATCAAAGGAACATCTGTGAGAAAAGAGGGAAATTAGAAAGACTCAACATTCATAAAGCAACTATAGATGAAATGTTAATATGTACGTGAGATCACATGACGGTTAACTCACTGACATCACTGTTATCAGATCCAGGTTTAACACCAAAACCTGGGAAATATAAACAGAAGAGATGAACTCAATAAGTATTGATCAACCTATGAATCAGTGTCTTTAGGAGTGTTTCTCACCATCAGGAGGCGACAGTGTGACCTCAGGAATCATCTCATACACATCGATCTGACGACCGGAGAGAACTCGCGCTGCACATCCAACCCGGTGGCTGCTGTCATGGAGACGAGACAGCACGGCTGTAGTGGTGACGGTGACTGTTCCATTGGTGTTGGTGACGCTGGTGGAGTTGTGGTGGGGGACAGTCAGCGTTACCGTGGGAACAGGTCGACCTGTGGCTGAGCAGGACACGACTAGCTCTTCAGCAGAGTGTGACTCTGTGACGTGTAGAAAGGGTCCATGCAGCTCTGCAGAGGAAAGACCATTAGATGTTATCATGGGAATATTACAGAGGAGGTAGAGGATTATTTCAGTGTTCTTACCATAGAGCTGGAGGCATGATCTCCCAGTGAAAACACCATCGGGGTAGGTGTTAAACAAACAGCGGTAGCATTCTTCATCCTGGTGAGTCACGTTTCTGATCACTATGGAGCTGTTCTGCAGTCCAGCAGATTTAATCTCCACTCTTCCCTGAAACCCAGTATTCACTTTCTGACCAAAGTGTTTGTTGTAAGAAGCGAGATCCGTCGTCCCACCAGGAATGATTTTCTGCCACGTGACTTGCACGACATCTTTAGAATCCATCAACCAACAGGTTAAGTAGGTGTCGTCTCCTAGAGCATCTAACACAAGCTGCTGGGATTGGACCAGAGAGGTTTGACCTGCAGGAAACAACATGTGCATCAACACCAGAGCTCACTTCACAGGACCAGACATGAAATAAGATTCTCATCCGGAATCTGTCTTTGGTGTGGTGATTATTATTTCTTGGCTTTCACTAATTTATATATTTCTATCCTAGGCTGGCTGGTGCACCTGGGTTTTCAGGCTGGGCGGGAAGGCCGAGAGGAGCGCTCTCTCACCACTCTCACCTGTGGCTAATGGACAATCTGGCACCAGTTACAGCGTGCTGTCTCCTGGGCCTCCGTGTCGGATTATTGTCTCCTGTCGACGCGACGCGACACGCATGCCAGCACGTCTGTATAGGTATTGTATATAGGTAATCTGACAATGATTAACAGCCAATGGTAACTCCTGGAATTTTCATTGTCAATAAAGTGTTTTTTTTTTTTATCAGAGTTCCACGTTAGCAGTTTAGCATCTAACCAGAAGTGCAAGAAAGCAGATAAAGTGCATTGTATTTCTAGAAATGAGAAGAATATGTACATGGAGCAGTATATAATATTAAGCAGTAAGGGTATACATGTGAATGGCAAATGTGGCATAATTGTGCAAATATAGCATAATTGAACAAACGAAACATATTTTATACCTTTTGCTCGGGCACACACACAAAAACATACACACACACAGACAGAAACATGCACCCACACACACGCACACACACACACACACACACACACACAGGTCAGCACCCCTTGACTTACCCTGATGGAGCTCTCTACCACTTGGCCTATTTGTTATTGTAAAGTATTCCACTAGATGTCCACGTCTCTATAATGTGTCTCCCTAAAGATCATCTTTGATCTACTAGTTGATATCATGCAGAAGACCAACTTTAGAAACTCTGCCCCCTGCGTGATGTGCTTTTTGTCTCCTGATCTCTTTCACGTAAGAGTACAGTGTGGATGACGTCACGGCTCTGCCACTCACTGTGCTCCATTGTGCCCTGTCCTTCCTCTGTGTGTGCGTGTGCGTGGACATAATTTCCATCAACCATCACCTGGACTCAACTCCAGCACCTGTATGCAAAACCAACCCGGTGGAACACTGCGGCTTCTTTTCACTCATCTACAGACTATTTTGCTCTTACAGTGGTAGTTTGACTCTCGGCCACTCAGTCTTATTTCGACTGAACGTATCTCTTGTATTTCGTGTTTCTTGCTATTCTAACTTGTTACAGGCCTGTATATTAATAAGTGTGAGGTCTGTGGAATGTTTTTTGATTATTGTTATCATTGCCCTAAAGATAATAAGGAATGCCAAGAAATTATTTTCCATTACTTTTGTCATGGTGGGGACATTAAAGGGTTAAGAAATACAACATTTAAAAATTCAATTCAAAAGCCATGAAATGCATTTGTTTCTGTTGCAATATAAATAACACCCGTCATAAACCTGAGTACAATAAACATACACGAGTAGCTGCGCTTTAAGATCACATGGAACAACAATGATCTAAAGGTGAGGAAACACATCTACGATCATCTGTTACTCACATTGGTGAAAGAATCCAAACGCACAAAGCAGACGTAGGACTGCACGCTGCGACATGTTGGCTGCACTGATCCTATTTACCTCCGGAAGGTTCTCATTGGTGCACAGGTCCACATGCACACAGGTAATCCAGGAGTCATACTTTGACTAAAAGACAAATTGTACTTATAATGGCACTTATCTATAGCAAATTGTTAGCGTCAGCTAAAGCGTTAGCTAAATGACATGTTTAATGTACTGTAATGTCATGCCGTAGAGCTAAAATTTGTATGGAATGATTTACATCGAGATGATCGGGGACACTGGAACGCTTTAGAGACACACTGCTGGAGAACCAAGTAATTTACGTGTGAATGAATTAAATGAAGGATAGCAATAAAAAGTTCACCAACACTATAAAAAGTTTACACTATATTAATTTCCGTGGTTCTGTGTCCCATGACGAAAATATCCAGATAATTAAGCAACCACAATATAGCGGCTTATACACAACAAAAACTATCCAAAAGCCGCAGCAGGCTAAGACACGAGGAGATTATACTCAAGACGCGTCGCACTGAAGTATTTCATCTGATGTTTATTACTCCATTTCACCAGCAGAAAGAATACACGCCAATCACTTACATTGATAGATGCCTTTCATCAGTCAAGAGAGGATCAACAGCGCATAAAACTTCGTAGTGACGTTAGTGACAATAATTACTCCGGTGACGATGATGCTGACGGTCAACAGAAAGTTTGTTCCCCATTCTCACCCTGCAGCCATGCTCCAAACAACCCGCCGTGCCCCACAGGTGAACAGACACACGCTAATATACACACCACACCCCCTTACGGTGTTATAGATACAAATGACGTCACACCACACACGCACATACAAACAATGTAGAAATAATACAAAAGAATAATCAAACCCAATGTATGGCTCCTACACACACCTGTGTCATTTATATGACTCTGTTGCTCTGCTGCTTGTTTACTTAATGTGAGGAGCCTCTTTTTATGGATGTAACCAGGGCAACAGCACACATGGAGTGTAACCAGGGCAACAGCACACATGGAGTGAACACAAGTGAGATCCATTCAAACAAAATGGCTTCATTAACCAAACAAGAAGTATATATTTATATATAGCGAATAAATTATTAAAACATTGAGTAAAATACAACAAACATTTAAAAACTAATTGAATGTTTTGACATTGATGATTAAAATCGATACTACTTTTCACAATAACAACCTTAAAGTCAACGTGCAACATTTTCACACAATCATCAAAAACTAAAGTGCGACACATTATATGTTAGAGGCAAACTTCTACTATTCACTATGTTGCAGTCACAGTGAATCCAAGTGACATTATTTGACAACATATTTTTTCTTTTTTCACAATTAAACATTCAATTCCACAAAGCCTGAACAAGTGCGTTGCTTCTAGTTTCATAAATACTTAAAGTGCTGTGTGTTGCAATCAAAAGATAACGGTAGATTTTAACTGTGGACAATAAATCTAAAATAGCTTAACTCACTGTTCAACCTCTAAGGTTAAGATGCAATAAAACAATCATTTTCATGTCTTCTGATTGTTAATAACCTGCCAGGAAGAAGAAAACAGGTTTATTATATACGGAATTATATTACACGCACATTCACGAATGTCGTTGTAAAAATATCTCACCTCTTTTGTTTCACTGCAGCAGCAACAAGGATCAATGAAATGATCAACACAACAATGATTACAACTGCAATCGTTGAAGGAGACATTATTTTCCCTGGAGACACACAACAAAAAATCCCTTGAGACCACAGTGGGACATTTACACAGTAATGTTTTTACTTAGAAAGAACTTCCCCCGATCAGTCACATGACCTCCAGAGAGTTAAAGTCCCCACTCATTGAGCTGTGACTACTTGTAATCAAACAGAAGTGAAACTGAAACGATCGCTGACTCACTTTGCTCTTTGTCACACTAGATTTACATTACTGAAACTCCCCGACTTCGTCACCCGATCAGTATCTAACAGGATCACCTGGACTTTCCTGGATGTTCAGCAAACAAAGTGCTGCATTAATCCCTATGTGACTGATGGGGGGTCAAAGGCCATCGATCTGCACAAAATGCCGCTCCGCGTGCGTACCCTCCTCGTCCTTCTTGCCGGCAGGTGAGGAGTAACGAATCCTCTCCCGCCTTTGTCCCGGCGCCCCGCTGTTCAGCACGCAGTCCGCGTGCCCCGTCCACCCTGCGGGCGCGCGCACAGTGACGTTGCTGCTGCTGGTGAACGTGCGGTCGCCGTTTGCGTCCGTCCGATTGGTCGGTCGCTCTGCGTGGGAGGCGCCGGGTGAGAGCTCCCAGCCGATGGTCGGGGCTGGTTTACCTGTGGCGGAGCAGCTGAACACGAGCTGCTCCGCCTCGTCCTCGCGATCACCGCGGGAAGGCTGCACCTCCGCTCTCACCTGGGATATACCTGCACGGGGAGTTATAAGGCGTCGTTACGATCGCGTTACCTAATAGGGCCCGTGCACGTGCGGGTATGGTCCGCGTGTTACCTTGCACCGTGAGGCATGTCTGCTTCCTTTGGGACCCGTCCGGGTACACGTTGAACGAGCAGACGTAGCAGCTCTCGTCGCCCCACGTGACGTCCCTCAGAGTGATGGAGGTCGATCGCAGAGACGCCTCCGTCAGGTGCACTTTCCCCGCGTGAGGGTCATTCACCTGCTGCCCGAACCGCTCGCTGTACGTCGCCAAATTCTCGACGAATTTCTCGTTGAACACCCTCTGCCACGTGACCTGCAGCACGCCTGTGAATCGGACCCTCCGATTAAAATTCAGGTTTGAGGCAGTTGTACGTTGCGTAAGTCCTTGTTGTTGTGATACCCAGTTTGGCCACAATTACTCGCTTTCAGTTGAGTAACATTTTCATTTTCAATGCAGGGTCTCTGTTTGTGGGGAAAATGCTCACCTGTGGGATCGGCGACTGAGCACGAATAGTGCGCGTCACCGCCATAATCAGCTGTTCTATTTCCAGAACCAGTGATCTGCGACCTGGAGTCTGTCCATAGAAACAGCTCGGTGTCAGTAAATGCAGAGTTGACTATAAATAAACAAAATACTAACGATAATAACACTTTAATTTGTTATAACGCTTTTCTAAATACCCAGAGAGCATTTGACATGGCAAAGACAGACAACCAAAACAAAAAAGAAAGTACATAAAAGGCTGCATTGCTTTTCTTGAATATAAAGACAAACTACCACATTGAATATATTTTCTTTCTCATCATTGTCACTTACCTGTAAATAATAAAGCAGTAAGGATCAGCATCAACATCTTCTTGCCGGCTGTCAGCTGTTATGCCCAAAGCTCTTTCAGTTTAGTTTTGAGTTCCCTTTAAAGATCCACAGAAACAGATACTGAAAGCACATAGAGAGACGGGGGGGGGGGGGGGGGGGGGGGGGGATTACTCGTTTTTACATATATTCCCTAGATGCAAAAAAAAAAAAAAAAACTGCATCACAAGTGGTCAAAAAATCCCGTAGCAGAAGTTCCTAAGAATTCGTCGTCTGGTGTTTTTTCATTGTCATTTTCCTGATAAGGAAGTGGTCATACGTCAAATTCTGACAGTAATTGTGATCACACCATGTGTTGCATGACATTTTACAGTCAGGCAAACCTAAACTAATTTCAAAAAGTCCCCCTCGATGAGAAGACAGGTCTGAACTTCTGTGTGACCAAATGTATAAAAGAGAAAATAAAACGACATTCATTCATTCATCTTGCAGTCGGGTCTGAGATATGTCCCATAATAATTGGATTGTTGTACTTCCATGTATTTTTTGTCATTACAGATAAAAAGCAGGATCGGTTCAAAAAACTACACCAACTTTTACAGTCCCATGATCCAGATTTGACCAGGAAGGGTCTATTATTATTGAATTATTTTGATCACATGTTCCACGTCTCTGGTTTAGTTACAGCCCGCAGAGGGAATCAATCCTCTCATACTTTTATAATCACATTTTCTACAAACATCTCAAACTCGCATGCTCAAACCTAATGATTGTGACCCACTTCCTCTGTAAATAGAGAGGAATGCTGGCAGGAAAACACCTGAGAGATCAACAATAACAGGGTTAGCAGACTGAAAACGAAAGAAGCAGTTGTCTAAACAAATTTGCAAAGGTTCATGAGTATAAGATTGATTCCATTTATTGTGTTTACATCGTGTATATCGGCGATGATGAGTTGTTTAAAGCAAACTTCTGGTTTCACTTTGACCGCAGAATCCATGACGCAACGAACAAAGCAGGGGTCACATTTTAGATTATGTTACAATTAGAGATGCTCCGATCTGATCGGCGCCGATCCATATCGGCCGATATTGCCATTATCGGTTTTGATCGGCGTTCTCAAAACGGCCGATCAGATTATTTTTTTTGAAAAGCTTGTGATTGGCTGTCTCTCCATGTTATTAAATTTCATTGGCCCCCGTCTTCGGTGGCGGGTGGGTGAAACCACTGAGACAAAACGGCTTCGCCGGTCTGGCAATATTACAAGGTGTCGGAAAAAGATAATAAATTTGCAGTTTGCAACGTCTGCTCAAATGTGCTTCCCCCTGGAGGAACGCGTCACGAACGCGTCACGAACCTCATACGGCATTTGAAAGCTTGTCACATCAAGGAATTTGAGGAGTTTACGAAGTTGGCGAGCGTTAAGGCGGATAAAGACAAAGAGCGTGCAGCCGCTTCCCAAACGCCACTCACTCAGCTGACCGTAACAGAGACATTGAAGCGACAGCAACCATAGAGCGGTGACAACAAGAGACGAAATTAATTAAATGCAAAGGTAATGGAATTCATGCGCCTTGATCAGCAGCCGCTGTCTGCTGTGGAAGACGCCGGGTTCAAACGCCTCGTATCCTGCTTGGATCCACGCTATACGCTGCCGGGCCGATAACACCCAACTGATGTTTGTCTGCCGGAATTATACCGAAATGTCTACACGCACATCGAGAGCCTTATGAAGGACAACATCAGGGCAGTTAGCTTCACGAGGGACATTTGGAGTTCGAGTGTGTGTCCCGTGTCTATGCTGAGCCTAACTGCGCAGTTTATTACGCAGCACGAGTCTTCCTCTCCGCACCTTGTAAAGTGTAGATAGCGAGCGACTTTTCAGCACAGCAGGACATATTTTAGATGAGAAGAGGAACAGGTTGACTCCTAAAAATGCTGAGATGCTTATATTTATCAAGGCAAATCTGCCAGTGATACTGCTTAATCAGAAGTAAGGTTTGAATACTCTAGTGTGTCCCCTCTCCGAGTGAGTGAGTGAGACACTATACACATAGATATACATGTTTTGTTTAATTGCTGACTTCCTGTGCACCTTTAATCTTTATTCTGTCTGTTATCTCCTCCTATAAGCTCCAAGTTCTACTGAGAGCCTCTAGAGAGTGGAATGTTGCACATGTTATTCTATTTATTTATATTTATATTTTTATTATTGTTTTAATATTTATTATTATTTACACATTTTATAGTAAGCGAGAGAGCTTTTCTACATTGGAATGCTGCACGTTCCCTGCAATAAAACGGATGGTTGTCAATTCATGATACTCTCTCGTCTCGTAATTTAAATACTTAAAATACAAAACCAATGTTGTTAAGAATAATTCCTTTCATAAATAATGCTACACAATAAATAGAATGCTTAAATCGACACCGTGATCGGTGATCGGTATCATCGGATCGGTAGATACTGATTTCAGTGATCGGTGATCGGCACCAAAAAACCTGTTCGGAGCATCTCTAGTTACAATAAGGGATCAGGAATATCTAAAGAGGAAAATGGCCGATAACATGATAACTGCACTATTTGGTAGTTATTCTAAATATAATATGAGACCGATTCAGAGACGGGAACAACATGTTTAGCTTCAGCTGTTTATTTCTTTTTAGATAATTCGTTGTTTCTTATGATGACCGCGTTACAATTTAATAACGCTACATTCATCACAAAGCAAAGCGTGCCACCTAGTGGACAGCAGGTCTCACTTCACCCGGATTGGAAGCAGCAGAGCTGGAGCTCTACAGAAGAGCCTCTGGACGAGTGTCCTCTGTGGTGGACGTGTTTGACTGATTGCTGTTGTGGAGACAGTTGTGTGGGCCGACAGTTGAATAAAGCACGTTGTCCCTCCGCATGACGGTGCTGTACAGCGCGATGGCTTCTGCCTCCTGCAGAGAGACACGTGACTTTAATAACAGGAGTGAAGGCAGATGAAAAACATGAATGTGTTTGTAAAAGAGAGGTGACATTGTTTCCGCACCGTGTTTTCAGGAGTGTGCGGTGGTTCTGTTTGTCTTCTGATGGGTCAGAAAACAATGCATCAGTAACTCATCTTCGTTTCCTCTATTCTAAGTACCATGGAAACAAATGAAGGACATCGTCTTCCCCCATCGCTTCTGACAGTAAAATGCTGCAATTTATGACTGCAGCACATTTGAAGTATTATATTTATACATTTAAAGATGTCTGATGCTGCTAAATTATTCCCAATAGGTGTATTACAGTATTAAACTCACCTGTGACGTTTTCCCCTGTAGATCAACCCAAAGATAACTGCAGTTATACAGATGACTGTTGTTGCACCGATCAACGCGTTTAGAAGCCGCGTGTGTGACGTCACGCCGCTCTCTCTCTCTTCTTCCCCCGAAACATCGTAAAGAAAAAGCTCTTTGTCAGATACATGACGGCTATTTACTCTGTAAAAAGGTAAAAAGTATGAAATGGGTTTACCTTCCACAGTGATATTCAGATGGAGGGTAACGGTCTCGCCCACACGTGAACACTCACAGGTGTAGCTCCCACTGTCCACTGGTGTGAGACCAGTCAGGTGGAGAAACACGGTCTGATTCTCCATCTTCAGAGTGAACCTGGAGTCACATTTGTTCTCAAAGTCTCCTCCGTGTCGATACAGCAGACGACACTCTGCTCCAGTCCTGTTAGTTCTGATCTTACACACTATGAGCGTTATGGCCTCTGTTGCATTACTGCAGATGGGAGTGACGTCAGGTCCTCTCCCGATGGTTTTAAATTCACTCACTGCAAACAAGTCAATTGAAGATTACAAATTCTCAATTTTTTTAATTAGAAAAAAAAAATTAATTCCATGATGCATTGCGTGTTTGTTCTTGTTACCTTCAGAGTTAAAGCAAACCGGGAGGTACAGCAGCAGAACAAAGCACAGTTTCCATCCCGACATGCTGGTCCACCTGCAACTAAAGCTGCAACTGAAGCTGCATGTGCACTGAAGGGAGGTGGACGCACCGTGAGCCTCATACTCTTATGAAAGAGGAAGTGCTGCTTCGGGAGCTTCTACTTTCACACCGACACACTGTGAGACTCATCAGCTGTGGAGGGCCGGACCGAACAAAGTAAAGTGTAAAGCTGCATCATTTGGGTCACAATGTCCTTAAGAAACGTGAGCTTGAGCTGTGAATAGAAGCTCGTGGTGTTTAGATTAGTTCATGTGACGGGAAGGTTGAAACTTTTAGGGATATTCACCCCTCAATTAGCATTAATCAACATGATTAAAAGAACCAAAATGCGTCTCTATGTACAATATTAAGGACTTTTATTGTGACAATCAGAAAGGTCCCAACTCATAACAAGGTGTGTGAATGTTCAAAACATTAGTACAAGAGAAATAATGTGTTACTCCCTTTATTGCATTTCCTAATCCTTCAACCACTGCTTTAGTTTCATACAGAGAATTTAAAAACAAAGTAGTAACTTAAAAGGTTACATTTCATTACCAAATGGAAAATACAGATTTTTAAGATCCTCCTGTGTGTACTTGTTAAAATATCTCTTGACACGTGTTATTGGACACAGTCACCGACAAGCAACATTTCAGTGATAAACGTGTTTTCAGACAATGAATCTTGAATATTTTGTGCAGTGAAAGAGGACAGAGAACAGTTACACTGATCCCAGTGAAATGTCACTCAAAAGGACCTTCAGCTCATTCAACATCTACTTAAATCACATCTTATTGCAAGAAATCATGATTAAGTACAAACACAAGTCACAGTCCTCGTGCTGCTCCACGAGAAACCAGCACCAGCAGAAGAACGCCACACAACTGCGTCGGCTGGTCCATGATGGTAGAGAGATGTCAGAAGAGCTGCAGTCTGTAAGCGACGCTTACGAAGTGCAAACAATGGCCGCAGACCACAGAACACATCTCTCCAGCCAGTGGGCCGCTGGTGCAGAGTGGTAGGAAGGAAGTGCAACACGTGTCCTCTTTTCAGTGAAAGCAAACCTTCATTTCGGCTTCACACAGGATTTAGATCACAATGCACACGTTACATCACGCATAGAGTTTAGAGGAGGAGAGAGGAGCCAAACTGACTGTTTCCTTGTGTTTTTCTAGAAGCAGGAGTCCAAATGAAACTGAACGTCAGATCGAATAAGTTCAACTCTCAAGAGTTTGACGATTTAAAGTTGGTTTAAAAGAGAGATTTTGTGTATTGACGCAACGTTATTTAAGAGCTGACCGGGTGAAAGAATTCACGGGCGACGTAGATGGATCAGACTTTATTCAATCCCCAGAGGGAAGCGAGGCCTTCGCGCTGTCAATGAATCCGTACACACACACACACACAGAGAATCACACATAAAACTTCCGAGCAATGCAATCATTGCCCGGGAGTCCATCTCATGCTGCGGGCCGGATCCGAAACCCAGAGGCTCAGCGGATGGACGTCCTCCCCCTGGAATACCCGGCGGAAACATGAAGGAAGAAAACCACACAGCAGAAAACTGCCATGAACGTGTGCAGGATGAGAGACATTGTCTGGTTCCAGACGACGTGCTCCAGCTTTTCCTCCAGGCGCCTGTTGCTGTCCTTCACAAGCAGCAGCTGAGTGGAAGCACACGGGGGGGGGGAGGTTATTCACGCATCGCAGGGTTTTCGTAGCTTCACAGATACGCCCGGGACGGCAAAGCCTACCGTGGTGCGAAGCCTTTGGAGGTCCTTGCGGGCCCGGTGGATGTCGGTCGCCAGGTTTCGGACCTCGGCCTTCACACCCTGCAGGGTGAGACTCTCGGGCCTGGAAAGGAACAGCTTCTTTTTAATGCATTCGAGAGGTTTAAAAACATGCAGCAGCATCATCTTCACCGGTGTGGGTCTGACCTTTGCACCGGAGGGATCTCCTCCCAGAACTGGACCAGGGCCCGGATGCCGTCGGGGGCTGCGGGCTCCATCTCAGCATTCACCACGAGCTAACGGCCGCAACACAAATTCATCACGATCTTACACGAAAGTAGTATCAACGAGTCGAGAGACGCAACGCGGGGAAGACGACACACCGCGTGGGTCCACGCGGCTGCCGTATCCGCCTCGTACTGAGTTCCCCTCACAGAGTGAACCGCAAAGACTTTGTTCCTGGAATAATCTGATTAGATTTCCTCTCCTATCTGCCTCCCAGGGCATTGTGTTGAATAATTCAATCAAGTGAGATCCCGCCTACTCCCTCCAGTGTTTCAGGAAGTTTTGTTTGTGTATTTGCATTAGTTTTAATGGGTGACATTTGTAATTTGTATAGTAAATTGCTTTGAGCTGTGTGGAAATGGTGCATCTCATGCTCCATAGTTATTTGTGTGTCTTTAGCAGTAAATAAAAGAAGGAAGTACAACAGTCTTCATATAAGGGCGTAGTTTACCTGGGCGATAATAATTGATTTGCGTGATTGATTTGGTGATTTGCGTTGGGCACACATTTACCAAAACCTTGATATTTACACAGTAATATATGGCAGTGTGCCAGGAAGTAACACATGAACAGTTTTCCTCTGAAAGCCTCGAAGCCTCAAGACGAAGCATGACCTAGATATATTAAGTCAATCGTGTCTCACGGCACTCAAACACTGCCTTACACCCCCACACTTCCTCTAGCATCACAACTTCCTTACTCATATACTATTGTCCATCCATCCAAAAGATAAAACCAGTCATATCTGGTGGTTTTGCAAATCTTTTGCTGCAGAACTAAGATGGCTGGCCAGGCAAGGTTCAAAATAATTGAAAAAAAGGTTCTCAACACAATAGTGTACAAGTAATTACAAATCATAAAAGATCAACTCAATTAAGACACATTAAGAGATTTGGATGCAGAGATTACAAGTGACGTACATCTCTAAAACCTGAGCAAACATCTAAAGACACATTATTTTTATTTTATGTATCAGAAGAAGTCACTTTTCTCTTCATCCATTTTTTTTGTCAATTCCACTGAAAAAAGAAACAATACCGGACCTTTACATCGGGTTCACAGGTGTGAGTATCCTGAATGTCCACCAGGTGGCGCCAGTTACCCTGGATTTTATTTCATCCGGGCGCAAAGGCTGCTGGGATATTCTTCTTTCAGGAAGCAACATGAGCCGCTAAACGAGCTCCCCTCCTGCAGGTAAATGTTTGCTAAATAAACGCCTTTGCAATGTAAATAAAATATACATTTTGTATATTAACTTTATGTTCATCTCGTGGTGTTGTGTCGATTTTGTACGTGTTTTTCTTTCCAGCTGAACAGTAAAGTTAGCTTAAATATTAGCCAACGTTAGGTAGGTTAGTATTGTTTTTAAAATACCAGAGGCAGCTATTGTATTGTAACGTTTTCTTCATGTGTTATCTGATGTTAATAAACATTATTTATCTTTCGATATTAGCAGGTTTGAGGGTGGAATAACGTTCGCAAAGTTAACGGGAAGATTCATACAACTGCATCTTAAATCATGGTAAGGCAGCCGAGAAGGTACAATCTTAACCTCCGTCGCTGGTTAATTAACGTTAAATGTGTTCTCGACCCTGTTCTTGAGTTTTTATTTACGACAATGACTCCAAAATAAAAAAGCAGATTATTAATTGCTTAAACCTTTTAGGACTTGTTGCCCAAAGGAAATTCAGCTGTCTTGTTGACAGGAAATTATATATCCCCCCTCTTGTATGTGGTGTTAAATGATTCTTTTTAACTAAAAATGTATTGTGCTAAAAAGTGCCCCACTGAGCGATAATCATAGAGGGTTCTGACTGAGAGGGACATTTCATCCCATGAGGAACACATCAAGTGGATATTTTAAGTATGTTGTACTTTTAAATTCAACTCACAGATCACTGTGGACAATATGTAAATAAGCCTTAAAACTGTGTCTACATTTCCCATCTGCAGGAGGACATGAGCAGCACCCTGATGTCCTGGTTCTCCAGCCCCGTGTACAGCCGCTACTGGCAGCACTACCAGCAGGCCATGGCCTGGCAACAGAGACACAGGCGAGCCTATCGAAAGGCCCTGGACGCTGGCCACGGCCACACTTACAGCCAGGAGCCGGATGGCGCCGGCGGCCGGCGGCAACGCTACGCGGATTGGAACGCGGGCGAGGAGGAGGAGGATGACGGCGACGGCGAGAGCAGCTCGGACAGCGAGATCGAGTGTGACATCAGCAACATGGAGATCAGCGACGAGCTTCGGCAGTACTTCGCCCAGACGGAGAAACACCGAGAGGAGCTCAGTAAGTGACAGATTGTGACATCACTGGCTACGCGCTGCGTGCTTTGTGTCTGTAAATAAGCGGTTTTCTTGTCCTTGCAGAGAAGCAGCAGCAGATCGAGGACGAGCTGCACGGAAGCTACGTGCCGGCCGACCGGGACCTCCGGGACGTCTCCTCGCGGAGCAGCGCGGCGCCTCCCTCGGACCGACCCGGCGAGAGGCGCGGGGCCGAGATGAAGAAGCTTTATGGCACGGACGCGGCCAAGATCCTGGCCATGGAGGCAGCGATGCAGCTTAATTTCGACCGAAACTGCGACCTCAAACAGCCCAAGTACTGGCCCGTGATCCCGCTGAAGCTGTGACGGCTGTACGCGGTTTGGAGGAAACCCCGTCTGTCGTGTCGCTTGAGGTTGATGTACAGTACCTCCAGGTGATGCTCAAGCAGCGTGGTTCCTCGTCGGCTGGTTCCGTTACGCGCTGCAGCGGCTCCTCTTTGGCCCGTCGACTTAGTTTAACCACAGAAACATGTCGTCTGTTCACGTGCGTTTCCGTCTGGTATCCAGCTTTTCAACAAACGGGAGGAGGGTGATTTGTTGTTGTTGTTGTCGCTTCTAAACTGTCGGCTTCAAAGCCGTTGGTGTGGTTTCTCAGGAGGGACTCTTACTATTCTGTTTTATCTTGTGCGTCACCGCCCAGTGCTATTTTTTAGCCTGAAGGATGTATATTTTAATACAAATTCTGTTCATAATAAATTCTTTACTGTTTGACGTTGTCAGTGGGGATTTCTTATTTACCTCTTTTGAAATGAGTCTCAATTAATAATGCATTCGCTATTAAGCTTTTAGGCTTTATTTCTACATTCAAAGTGTATTTATATTAGAATTATTTCATCAAAGGAGTGGAGGGAAAGAAATGTCGTCTGTTACAAAGGTCCAGTGTTTACAATGTAAACAGTATTTACAACAATGACCTTTGGTGATTGTATTGTAACGGATAAAAGACGCCAAAGGTCATTGTTTAAAATGTCCAGTCAACTTCTTGAAAACGAAGTGGAGTAAAAGCGACTATTTCTCTTTGAAAGGTTAAATATGTAAGAAATACATATAAACCGGTAAATACTAACTAATTCGCTGTAGTCTGGTCCACAATCCTATAAATAATAACACAAGTTGACTTGATTTTATTTCACAACGCTTGGAGGACAAATAAGGACACGTGGAGGACTTAACAAAAGTCTGATCCTTTTCTATCTTTGATCCAAACTTTGAGGTTTTGGACCTGTTTCGCGTGTGTACTTCACAATCAAACCAGTGCAGCAAAGGACCTAAAACCCAAATGTCACTCTGACATGTTTGTGTTGTAAATAGTATTATAAAACAAATGGATGTTGACGTTGGAAACACTAGTTCATCATGCATGAAGGAGGACGTTCCGCGTTCGGATGGATGTCAACAATCTGACACTCTCACTTCTCTCTCTCACAACATCTGTTTCCCATGAGGCAGCAGGGCGGTTGACGGCCTTCAGGCCAGTGAGAAGTTGAGGACAGGCAGGATGTAGTCAAGTGACATGATTTATTTCGACGGAGGTCCTTTGTAAACTTCGGCTCGCCCTGTTTCGCTTGTTATTCTCCCCCAAACAGCTACTTTAGTCCCATCATCGTCATCCTGTCTTTCATCTGCATATCACTCCCCCCCCCATCCCTCCCCGCCCTCCCCCCGCATCCTCCTTGCTGAATTCGCTCTTTGTGCTCTCTGCAGTTTAGTCTCAGTGGAAAGTGTGGAAACTCGTATCGTCTTGCATCCTCTTGCGTCGGCGCGCGCCGATCGGCGGGATGGATGCTGAGCGACTTCAAAAGGCTGCGAGTGTTGTTTTATTCTGAAGGAATGACTGATCACTGAGCCGGAACAGAGAGGGGAAAGTGGAACGATTCGCTGACCTGATTAGAATAACGGTGCACCGACCCTTAAACTGCTGCAGCGGTGCCATGATAACTGTCTTGGGACGACTGAACACAAAGCAGAGGGATTGTGTGTTTTTTTTAATCTTATATAGGTTACAAGTTGCTGAAAGATTTTTTTTTTAGACGGAAGCAGAAATTTTCTTTGATGTATCTTAAATTGTGCGTTGCGTGATTGCAGATAGCCAGAGCGTGTCCTCGTGTGATGAAGTGAATTCATCAAAGAGTAAATCAAAAATGAGATCACTTTTAGGATGCGATGGATCCACTGTGATCCACAAAACCTACTACCCGATGTCCAGACAGGTCTGTCTTCTGTTCATCTTTATGTCCTTTTCTCTTTGTACAATATTTCAAACATGCCTCCCAACCCCAGTATTTGCCTTACAATTTTAGTCCGCTTGTCTTACGGGTCCTGAAGCCTTTTAATCTCAGACCAACAGCTACTCTGAAGCGTCAGAGTCAGTTGTCATCGAGAGGACCTGTTGCCATGGCAACGCGGCGACGCAAAAAGCTCCGGGGTGGCGCATCATCGGTCATACGTCTGATCACACGAGCCCACTCATATGAATACACACACACATATACACATACACATGCACGCACACACAGACTTTCCCTCACCACCCCCTGCCAGTCTGCCGCCCCCAGAGAAATGATGATGATGATGATGCTGCTTTGCTTTCCCTCCACACAGTGACTCACGGTGCACATCGTCAATGGAATCTGGTCTTAACCCACATCACTGCTGGCATGCGCTGCGGTTCAGTACAGTAGGTCGCAGGTGCAACAGTTCCTCACATGACTGTCATGACAACAACGTGATGCAGGCAGGCAGCCGTAGAGTGGAGAGGGTGGGGTTTGTGTGTGCGTGGCCTCAGGGTGGCTGTGTGTAGTTGGGATGACAACACAACATCATGTGGAGCAGACTGTGGACCAAATCTGGGGCAGCGGGATTAGCGGCTCGTCGGATAAGTTGCTGGAGGAGGGTCGGTGGGCGGGGGGAGGTGTGTTTGTGTGTGTGTGTGTGGAGGTGAGTGGAGGTTATTGCTCCTGCACTCTGACTCTATTTCTCCAGGTGGTTCCAGTAGGAGGCGGGCATCCGGTTTGTGTTTGCACATATTCGCCATGAAGTTTCACCTAAGAGCAATACTTTGCAACCACGTGCAAAACTCACACAGGGGTGCAGGTGTCTCGGGCAGCTCAGATGATGACGACACACGAAGGGAGTCATGTGAATGAATTTAAGTTGCCCGCTGGCTGGTAGAAGACGTGACGAGATGGAGAGAAGAAAGGTTCTAGATGGACCAATCTTTGTCAGCACGCGACGGTTCTGCTCAGGGACGAGAGAGAAGCGTCTCCTTGGCGACCGGCGGAGGGGGCGGGAGCAGTGGGTGCAAAACTGGGTCATCGTTACCAACGCAGATTAAGGGGTCCCGGGTCTGAACACACTCGTGCTCCCCGGAGAACACACACAGAAACTCATGCAAACAGAGTCCAGAGGAACCTCTCCAGGTGAGCGACGACGCGGCGCTGCAGGTGCTCCGACCTGGCCGTCCACCAACGGTTTCCCTTTTAGAAGAAGCCAGAAGCCCATTAAAATATCAGAGATTAGACTAACGCCACAGCGGGAGGCCGATAAAGCCGCCGCTGAGACACTGTTCCTGTGTGTGTGTGTGTGTGTGTAAAAGTGTCCTTTTGTATGTTTACGTTTGCCTGTCTCCAGCTTTGACCAACGAAGCCACAGCGAGACGGATGGATCCGGAAGTTTTAAACCGGCTTATTTGATGAAATTGCACTTTGTTCTTCGGAGTTTGTACTCTTACGGTTGAAACGCACTTATTGTAAGTCGCTTCGGATAAAAGCGTCAGTTGAATGACATGTAATGTAATATGTGACGCCAGGCCCGCGTGAGGCTCAACGTTGCCACGGAGACAGGAGAGATGGTAACTTGTATCTGAGCGCTGTCTTACACATTTACGCCCCATCTTATCCGTCCACAAGACTATTCCCAAGCTCAGGCTTTGGCTCAGCAGGCTGCACACTGTAGGCGTAGGAGTCCTTGTTCTGATGCTACAGATCTTTATTTCGCTCGGCTTCTGCCTTCAAGGCGGTTTCAAGCTGTGACGAGGACACAAGAGAAGTTCTCCCAGGAACTGATAGCACCGGCGAAAGATCTGAATTAGCGCGGCCCTTCTGCGGTGTTAGGCGTCCCCATGGCAACAGCAGAGGCCGGCATCACTCGGAGATCTGAGCGCCGTGACGCTGAGGATGTGATCCTCTCAACCCGTGGGAAACCTTTCAAACTGAAGTTTGAAGTCGATTTGCAGACGCTCTTTGCGAAGGTGGCCAGAGACTGCTGTGTCCTGCTTTTGTCCCTCGTTATTCCTCCTCTGCAGACTCTCTCCTCGCTGCGATGAGGGACGACAGGCGTCCGTTTGCCAACAATAGACGCCGAGCGTCCACGCAGCTCCTTCTGGAGCCACGCATGAAAGCGTACAAACACGCTGTTAAAGGTCGACACCTTGAAGGGGATCGACTGTGACACGATGTGATGTAGCTCGGTCGCTTCCGCACAGAAAGATCTCAACACTTACTGGACGGGTTGACCCCACTTTTTGTAGAGATATTGGCGGTTTCCAGACGATGTTGCCAAAGGATCTTTGGTGACTCCAACACGAGGTTACAAAATAGGGCACACACACTCGGCAATCCCCTGACTTTCAACTGATTTAAATATTTAGCTAATGCTAAGGAGCTAAACTAAGATGGTAAACATGATTACAGCATTAAGCCTTATGTGTTAGCATTGCCGCTGTGAACATTGTGAGCTGCTTGTTGTAGACGGTTCAAGCTCTTTCTCAAAGGAGGAAGAAACAACTAAAATATTTGTGTATGTATTTATATTAATATTTTTGAGAAAATTGTGAAATTCTTCTGCTGAACTCCGTCCGAGTGTTTTGAGCTTTAGTGATGCTGCAGAAACTATCATGTATTTTCCATTGGCAAAATTATCGCCGTACTCCACACACAGATAATGTCGGTGTGTGTGTGTGTGTGTGTGTGTGTGTGTGAGAGAGGGTGAAGAGTGCCAAGGAGCACATCTCATTTTCTGGAATGGTCCTTAATCTGTGTGACCCAGTCAGGGATTATGAAGGTTATGGGAGAAAAATGGGACTTGAAACTAACCCCTCAAGCCTAATAACCGACAGTTTGTGTCTGATTTCTTCCTGCAAAAGTAAGTTTATTATTTTATTTTGGGTTCACAACACCACACCACATCTCAGTGTGTTTCATAGGGGACTGACTCCATTTGTGCAGCTGATATGGCTTCCTCGTGACTCAATCTCAAAGAGACATTCAGATGGCAAAAGGTCACTGGGATTTGACTTGTGGGTGCAAACTGGGTGTTCATTTCAGCCCTTTGGGGGCAATGGATCCAATAAATGGCACGTGTCCTGCAAGCGGATTCTCTGTGTGTTTTTTGGGGATGAAAAGAAGTGAGAGGTGCAGCTTTCTGGACTGATGTGTGGGCCGAGCTTGGTCTGAAACAGGGCCTCGTGGGCCCCAATTAAAACCTGATTTAAGGATGGAGGTTTTAGGAAAGATGTGTCCCATTGTGAATGATGGAACCCCCGTCTCACCCACACACACCTATCCTCAATATAAACACACCAACCGGGGAACGGGGACTCACCTTGCTTTCCTCCTCATTGGCTGTGGCATCTTGCACTCAGCCAATCAGCATCTTCTGGGGGCAAACAAAGGGCGCCCTGTTGCATAAAGCCAGACACACGCTGTGAGAAGCTCTGATTGGTCAAAGGGCATCCAGCCAAAGTCAAATCAATTTAGGTGGAGCTGTTTTTTCTTCAACGAAAGTAATGAAGTCGCACAGCAATGAATAGAAACATGTCACAATGCCCAAGTAAGAAACTGGGTGTGTTTCTTCTTATGGGAATAATACCTGAACTGCATGGAAATGAGTGTTAAAGGTGCCTTTTTGACATGAGCCAGAAAACCACAATGAGTCCTCTCCCTTTTATCTTGTACTCTCTTAAAGCACACTAGATAATCGCCTCCTCTATCTTCCCTCCCTTATACTCTCTCTACTCACCAGATGGAGAGGGGGCGGTGTGTGTGTGTGTGTGAGGATTTATGCATGCATGGTTACCCATGAGTTTGCATATTTACATCTCATGTACATTCTTCCCTTAAATCTTCCACCAAAGCAACACAAGATCAGACATTTTCACCTGCAAACCGGCGGACAGAGGAAGCCACCGACGACACAAATGACAGGAATAATGTGAATGAGCGTTATTTTCTCCACAGTCAACAGAGGGTTTAGGGGCCAAAACGCGTTATCTGGCATCATTTGGGGCCGCTAATCCGCGTGTGCCAAATAAATCCAATCTGACAGGGCATTTGCATCATGAGACTGGATTGTTAATATCCATAGAGAGACAGAGCTAAGCTTTAACGGGGAGGAGGAGAGAGAAAGAGGGAGGGTGTGTACGAGCGAGAGAGAGAGAGAGAGAGAGAGAGAGAGAGGGATCGAGTCATCAGGACAGACTCAACCATCCACAGACTGTGAAGTGCAAGTGCCACAAGGAGACTATATTCCTCTAAAATAATGGATGGGACCAAGCCGGCCATGGAGTCCAACGCGGAGGAGACGCAGGACGAGGGACAGGAGAGCAAAGGTACGCTCAGCCGGCCGCCGACATTTGCGAGTTTTGTCCTGTGTTTTCTTTGGAGACGTTTGCGTCTGCGCCAGCCTGAGCGGTTTAACCTACTTGCAATGGCTTCTCGGTTGTGCGCGAGCGAGACAATAGCAATGTCTCCCCCCCCCCCCCCCACCCCCACCCCTGTCGCCCCCTCTCCCTCCTCCTTCTCCCCCCTCTGCCCTCTCACCTGTTCCAGGGCCATTTGGAAAGCAATAAATGATGCGGATGACCGACATTATTCCCACAATCCAAATCCAAATTTTCGATGTTATTTGTCGCCTACAAAGGGGTGCTGGGAGCATGTGGGGAGGAGGGGGGAGGAGGAAGGGGGATAACACGGGCGGGTGGGTTGATGCGCTCTTGTTTTATGGTGCATACGTTAAAGCCAATTTGCTCTTACATTACCGCACCGCCGTGTGCACATTTCTGCCTGATGAGCGGCGGAGGACGCGGCGGTGGAGGCGTTGCGCGCCGCGCACGGCTGCGTGTTTTTTTTTTTTTTTTTCAATCGTCAGGTGCGGACCGACAGCGAGCTCCGCGGTCCTCCCGCCCGCGAGCCACGTCGATCAACATCGGCGGTGATTGGTCGACGGTGCGGCAACATATGAGAGCCGCGTTGGGGACGCGCGCGGTAATTTTGCGGTGCAGGAAGCTGCAAAATGCGTCCATCAGTCCCAAACCCGCCGCTGAGCTCCAAAAACTGTTTTAAATGCGCAATCTCGCGTATTTTTAATGTGGATGAATGAAAAATGAAGATGCACATTGTGTTTTTCGTGCACAGCAAAAACAGCCATTTTCCAACCAAACTGTTGCTGTTTGTGTGCACTGCAGGACTCACGCAGATTGACAGTCCGGTGTTGTTTGTGAAGTCACACAGATGACTGTCTGTTTACCATTGGCGGATTAAATATGAATGAAGTTCTGTCTGATGCATAATACAGAAAATGAAGAATGATGCTCCACCATACAGGCCAGTGAAGAGCCGGGTATCGGAGCGCATGGGCCTGGGGGGCTTTGAACACACCCGCCTCACACCAACACCCAGTGTTTCCTCTGCTTGATCCCTCAGTGCGGCAGATGTTCTCCATTTTCAAGCGGGGCGTTAAAAGTGATGGTTTGAGTTTGATGTATTTTTAATTCTTTTGTGTGACTAAAGAGTAAATCCTGCAGCACTTGTTATTGCCGGGTCACATTCTGTGTTCGGTGCAGGAGAGTGCTGTGTCCCTGCACGGGGATGTTTTAAAAAAGACATTACATCATCGTCTCCGGTGGCATCCAGCTGCAGGCCAGTGTCCAATGAGGGCTTTTATCATGCAGCTTTAATTGACGGAGTGGGCGGGTCTGTTGAAAGTCCCTGAGGATAGTTGAGCAGGAGGGCGGCCATGTTTATGGTTTGTAATTAACCCTTTTGAATTCCTTAATCACCATTTTAAGTCAAAGCGGTGGCGTGGTGCTCAGCATCCTTCAGCCTCTGCAGGTGTGACGTCGCGCAACCAGCCAACCACAGCGGCCTGGATGGCAGGGCGGCCTATTTGTCCGTGCAAATAGGTCGTCGTGCGCCTTTGACATCTGGAAGGTGACCACGAGCTTATAGCATCCGGTAAGAGGCTGAAGATTTACAGCGGGGACAAGGAGGCGAGAGCTGCCGCGTGAGGAGCTTCAGCTGACGCGAGCCAGCGGCTCATCATCCGCTTCGGTTCAACGCGTTTCTGATTCGGACGGCAGCAGTTTTGGAATAAATACTCACGCGTATCAAGGCGCTTTGTGTGGAATGACCTCATCTGGGATTTCCTGAAATCCTCTTTGTACTTGGCTTGGAAATGTAAAGATGTAAAACTAAGTCGAGACAGATGTATCAGCTTCTGACAAAATATCGCCCCATCAGGGCAAATAAACTAAAAAAGATGTCAAAATTGACTGTCTTCATTAAACAATTTCACCAACAATTATTATTATTGTTATCGTGATATAATATCTATGCTTTATCAAAACAAATAATTTGACTCTTTTCTTGTTTGCGTGCTTGACTTTCAAGTTATGTCTTTTTTCAACCCTTAATTATTACCAAAATCTTTTGTCTGAAACCTTGTGAAATAGAAAGTCCCTTTCAGCCATACGTGCAATTTCATCCGACCTATTTTATCTGACTATTGTGCTCATCTCTTGCATGATATGGAGCTGAAAGTAATTACAAACTGGAAAGTGAGCACAGAACAACGGCCGGCTTTATAATCCGCCGTCATGTCTGTCAGTATGAATTGATCTTTTTGCTCGATTGCGTCCTATAATCTCTAATCTGTAACTCTGCGAGGGCACACTGCGTGCTCGGGTAGAACGAGACGTCGGCTGCGCTCTCTGAGGAACGATTATATCCGATTTCATTAGTATGCCACAGTTTGATTAGAGACAGCACCTCCCATGTGACATTTCTGGTATATTCATCGAGCATTACAAGTTCCTCCTTGTCGGCCGTCCTTCCTTTTACTTGCAAATGAAAGGCCTGTCCACACACACACCTTGCTCCCTCACTGTGTGTGTGTGTGTGGGCGTGCACGCTCTTGCATAACGCGTCGCCGGCTCGCATGATGTTCAGATCAGAAGCGTAGGAGATTACATCATCGTCTGGAGGGGTGCAGGTTTTTGTTGAGTTTCCTGCGCTGGAAGGGAGAAAGCTTTGCTGCAGCCTCCGAAGCATAAAGAGAGTTCCTCTCAGTCAGCCTTTTAACGCCCTTCTGTTCCCTCTGTAATCCGTGATGTTTGACCCGAGCAGAGGAGGATGTTGGGATTCGGTGGCGTCTTCAGGCCGATTCACCATCAAGCAAATAAAAACAGCTGAAAGGAACTGTTTGTGAAATAGGAGTTGTTGTTCCTGAATTAGATGTGGATTGGTACCAGTTGCTAGGTAACCAGCCATAGAAAAATTCATTTGATTTTTTCATACGAACACACATACAGTGTTAACGGGACTGAGCCATGCTAGCTGTTGCCCTCCGATTCCAGTCTTTATGCTAAGCTAAGACAACCAGTTGTAAAATAAGATTAAATAATCCTTCATTAGTCCCGGTGGGGAAATAAACAGGATTTACAGCAGCGTAAATTGGAGTGCAGACAAGAGACACAGCACAAAGAAAGACGACATAAAAAAGTCTTAGAAATAACCAGTGATAAAAACTGCTGTACAGTTCTATGAACATATTACGCTGCCATCCTGACCTGTACGAGTAACGCTCCAGTGATACGGCCCAGCAGAGTTCAGGTTGAGGCCTTCAATGGAAAGGTCGACCTCTGTTTGAGGGCAACGGGTCGGGACGAGGAGCCGGGCCGTCCCGCCCGCTGCTGCTGACATTCAGTCTGTGTTTCTGATAAATATTAAACAGGTTCCCCGCGATGCCCTCCTGACCTCACAGGCAGAACTTATTTATGTTGACATGTCAATACTTTATGGTTCATTGCTGCTGTTTTGATAAACAGTGATATTTCAACAATGTCCTGGTTGAGGTGTAAAGGACCTACAGGTATTTATGTAATATTCTGTGTGCAGTAAATATGATGAGGTCAATGGTGACTTCTGCTCTTTAAGGAGGGAGAGATCATCATTGTGATAACTTTAAACCGCAAGGCTTTTAATTTGCAATTCATTTGGGAACTTGGATGTACAACTAACCAAAGTATCAGACGTCAGATTGTTCACCTGGTCGCTATGGTCGGCAATTTGAATGTCCATATCAAGCACCGATACCGGTTTAATATCAGCCGATATGAGGAGAAACCAAGCGTGTGCTGCTGCTTCTCTCTCCCACCCTCCCACGCACACTCAAACGCGCTCACTCGCCGTTACTGGCATCCGTCTTCTCTTTGTAACACACCGCCGCCTCTCACTTCAGGCTCTCTATGAATACAACAGACCCAACATGGCGTCTTCGTCAGGAGGGTCCACGTACCCTGAATCAACTCCTTCTGGAGGTTCGCTGTGAGTAAAACGCGTGACAACTCCAGGTAAAGTCCTTCGACTTTCGCTGGGATTTCAGTTTGTGTTTGCATGCAAGGGACAAAACCAAGATTACACTCGTGGTTCTGACCTCGCGTGCCCTGGAAATGCTGACGAATCCGCCATCTGCGCGCACATCTCCAATTTTTTTTAACGTATTTGTTGCACATAAACCGTCACAATCCTCCTTTTGGTTTCCTCTGATCGCTCCTCATCCTCTCCTCCCTCACTTGTCCTGATTCCCGAGCTCATCTCTCCCCCCGCCCACACACACGCACACACACACACACACACACACACACACACACACACCCTTTGCTCCTTCTCCTCCTCTCGCCCTGGAGGTGTGTGAGGTTGCAGGAGCATGTGAAAGCCGTCACACAGGGGGAGGCTCATGTGTTCCTCATTTGAAGCTATTTGCCCAAAGCCAGCTGTCAGCCTCCATCTGGATGTGTGTGTGTGTGTGTGTGCTTGTATTTGTTTTCGTGTCAGTGACCAGGAGTGGTTTAGGGGAGTGTCTGCGTTGCACTGAAGGAAACGCTCTGTTTTAGCGTGCACATACGTGGGCGAGCCGCTGGGTCGCCCACGTGTTGGTGCTCTCTGCGCTCTCCGTCCCCGCGCGGCGCTCACATCCATATTTAACTCAAGCGCTGCGCTCGCATGTTGGTGAAACATGCAGTATTTAGTGTGGATGTGTCCTCTTACGCAGCGTTTGGGATAAGTTGCTTTTTGTTTCATATCTTCATTTTATTGGAGATGTCATGACAACAAGCTGAAACAAGGAGGTTAATCGTTTAATTGAGTCCTTGTTAATGAATGAAAAAGCATTAGCACGATGTAATGAACTTATGGACAAATGTGTTAATCGAATCGAGCAGAAATGTCCCGATGTTCACGAGCTTCATCTTCTCAAATGTCAGGATTTGCTGCTTTTCTCTCTTTGATATCGTTGTAGATTTGATGTCTTTTGATTCTGGACATTTGGTGCGACAAAGACACGTAAAGACGGCACATTGGTCTTAAAGGAATTATATCCATTTTATTTTACCATATCATAATGTTTGAACACTAAACGCCAGGAAACAAAAGGCTAATTGATACAGAAATAACCACGAAGCCCCGTGAAAAATCCAATTACAAAATTTGGAAACCAAACGCACACACACACACACACACACACACACACACACACACACACAACGCGTCTACGTTTGGACGGCGGTCTGCGGCGGGTGTGTGAATAGCAGCAAGTGGCAGGTTGGCGCAGCGGGCCTTGTTCCTGAGCGGTGCCAGCCCCCCCCCCCTCCACCCTCGGCCCCCCACCACCTCCCTCCATCACCCACCAACAGCCAACCTGCTCCGCTCATCAGCAGCCCGTCGCGCGTCCGACGCCGACTAAGCGTTTGCGAGAACGATGGTCTTTGATGTACGAGGAGGATTCCTGACAAAGACCTGTCTGTGGGAGAGGCCTTTACGGGAAGCGTACCCGCGTTACACAGTGTCCCCGAGGCTGCTGCAAAGTGTATCTCCATCAGGGGGGAGGAGGCGGGAGGAGGCGGAGGAGGGGGGAGGGCCAGCGACTGCTTTGACGTCTCCGGGAGGGGGACTTTTGCCAAGTCGGTTGCGTAACCGCTCAGCGATTCGGTCCAATGGCACGTGTGGCCACAGGGGCCATTTTGCTTTTTCGGTGGGAGTCAAGACTCAAACCGGCACGCGGCACTTCGGGACCGGTGACCCGGCTCCTGCCCCCCCCGGCCCTCCAAAGCACGATGGAGGGTGTGGTGGTTTTGCCCGTGCTTTACAGTCTCTGTTTACATTGACTATTGAACGGACTCTCCGTGGGATAAAATAATCCACTTCATGAGATGGAGAAGAACCGGCCTCGTGGCCGCGGGGACGCCGGCACCAGCAGCCAAGAGGTTCTCACAAACAGGAGATTAGGGTCAGTTATGTCCGGGGGGGGAAACGGTGAAGGCCGCTGGCTTCATCCTCTTACCTGACATATTGTGTCCTCTTGATCAGCGAAGGAAACAAGCCGATTATGAAAACATTCGGTGACGTGTCAGTTATCAGATGAATGTGAGGGGATTTTCTTTCTTTTTCTTGCAGGAAATCCATCTTCTGTCTATGGACAAAACAATTGACTAAGAGTCAAAAGGTCAGATTGGCCGATCGCCCCCATCATTAGTTGCTTAGACAACTTTGTGCAATGAGGCGTTACGACCAACAGTGGAGTCTGCTCACTATTACTTTAAATAATCCGACTGAGCTGTTTAACTGCTCGTGTTTCTCTCTGATGATTAAGTGTCTGTGTCGAAACTACGGTGGCCAACGTGGCCAAAAAGGCTGCAAAACGTTAGGAGTTCCAAAACATAGGAGGTACCAAATTAAATAAATCACCGGAAAGGTGCAAATAAATAAAACGTGCTTTGAGAGCGAAGCAGCAAACAACGCAACGTGAAACGCACCCTGAAAAGAAACTGACGACGCGGCGGATGTGAGAAAGAAAGAGAAACCGGACGAGAGTTTTTTTGGTTTCTATCTCTTGTTGGTTGACCGCATACAAACATTTCATCCTTCAAGTCAAAGGGAAAGAAGGAAATCTCCTAAACTGAAGTCACAAGGTTACGAGTTGTGTGTGTGTGTGTGTGTGTGTGTGTGTGTGTGTGTGTGTGTGTGTGTGTGTGTGTGTGTGTGTGTGTGTGTGTGTGTGTGTCATCTGACAGATGCGGCTTCTTTTTCATCTCAACCAGCGGAGACGCAGCCGTCCACGTCCCTGCGCTCTCTTTCTGCTTTACTTGCTCACGGCTTCTCTCTCTCTCTCTGAGGTCCTCCTATGCTCTTGTGGGAAAGTACCCATAATGCACTCTGAGGAAATTGCCCCATAATGAATACAGCACTTCTAGATTGGAACAGAGCCGCGGGCAGAGAGCAGACCGGCCGCTGAAATATTCACAAAGCTTTATTAACGCTGATGACTGAATGTTTCCAGAGAACTACAGCACACAAATTCCGGCGATATTATCTCAAGATGGCGGATAAAAGCTGCTCTTGAAGCGTGTAATGATGATTGACAGGTCTCTACCACAACATGAACACGGCCGAATAGAGCCCGAACGTACATCTCGACTGCCTGGAATGAGTCACTCAGCGTTGCAACACGTGACCGGATGGCAGCGGCCGAAAAGCAGAACTGGAGGCTTGGAAATGGTGAACCTCAAACCAGCGCTCGTGGTGACTAAATCCACTGCCTATATGCAGACGGTGGTTTGCCACAATCACTGAATTGTCTTTAAAGCTTAGAGATGATCAAATTAAATCTCATTTCAAACAATATAAAATGTGTCTGACCCACTTCTTAAAACCTGAATGGCAGATTATGGATAACCTTAAATCTCCCTCTCTATTTGTCTTGTCATCACCTCAGTTGCTCTCAGTCTTTTTTGGTGCTTTTGTTATTTTTTTATTCATATTCCACACCATTGTCAGCACTTAGCACCAATATATCCTTTTTTTCCAATTGAGGTTACATCACTATCGGTGCGTTGGTGCGTGTGAAGCGGCCGTGAAGCACTACGCTACCGCCGAACTGGGTCGCGGGTAACACGTTGCTATGGCAACTGCTATTTGCCGGCCCCGGGGCCACGAGCTGCTTTTTCGCACACGCTTTCTCTCTCTTCTTCTTCTCTCCTGTCTTCCTTCGCCTCCTTCTCTCTCCTCTCACCTCGGCCTTCCTCTCGCGTACCTCTGTCTTACGCCATCGTCCCTTCTCACGTCCCTTTCTTTTGTCTTCGCGTCCATCTATCAAACTGTCCCTTGCAGCGACAAATTGAAATCCTAATTCTCGCGTTTTGCCCCGCGAGGCGCCAGCGGCGGGAGAACAAGGCCGGGGCGGTTAATCCTAAATTGCAGCTCTCAGTCAGTCAAATTACTCGCGCTTTCTGTCGAATCAACGTAAACTCCCGGATCACAGTGCTCCCACGAGGCGACGCATCTCGTCCCCCTCCCCCCCCCCGGGGTACGAGCAGCGTAACGTATTGTCCTGGCGATTAACTCCGGCTGGTTCGCTGCTAAGTACGGCGTGGGCGCGCAGCCCTTTTCCATCGAGAGCGCCCGGAGGACGGGCCTGGGGCGGGAGGCCGAGGTGGCGAGATGCAGCGAGGTGTAGGACCAGAGCGATGGGCCGCCTAAGCTCTCCTCTAATGAATAGCCCATCGATTTCCATTAGGGCCGGCTGGAGAGGACCACCCCGGCCCGTCCGTTGGCCATTAGTGCACTTTAAAACAGAGGCTGACAGGCCTTTAGTAGCCACGGGCGCACCGGATGAGAAGCCCCCGCTCTGTGAATTCATCCGTGAAGCTGCACGGGGGCCGGGGGAGAAGATTGACTTAACGGCGGGAATTAGAGGAGCTTTAAGTATCACTCGTGCACTCGCAAACTTTTCTTCTTCTGCTGCTGCTTTTAATTTCAGCGCCTTGAAAGGGAGCAATAGTCGAGGGGCAGGAATATCAAGATTACATCCACACCTCCTCCTCCACTTCACACTGGACGGTGTTTCTTCTCGTCCCTTAAATCAGAAGGACGGGAAAACGGACAGACTAAATCACCTGGGGAGATGGACCTTTTAGCGCAGAGCAGCTTCGACACAGCCCCCCCGGTCCTCGTGGTATCGACCAGTGAGTCCAGTAAACCCCCCCCTGTGCCCCCTCGAGGCCTGGCCCGTTTCTGGGCTCAGATTTTCGAGCCATCCGACCTTATGAGCTCCACCTCTCCATCAGCCTGCTTCCTTCATTAACATTAGTAGGATTTGGATCCATTATGCAACGAGCCTCCGCTTTGTTACGCAACGTGCAGGAGGAGGAGGGTTGGGGGGGGGGGTTGATTCTTAGATTTATGTGGCGGGGTTTTTCATTCCCTCAGACAGGAAGTGGAGGGGTTCTCAACGCACGCCGGCAGATGACCGTGCTCTGGGGTCAGATACCTCGATGGAGAGGAACCAAACAGCTCCGCGTTATGACTGAAAAAAAACAAAACATGTGCTTTATTGAAGTTTATGTAGATTAACAGCTGCTGCGTAATAATTAGTACTTGTAAAATCGGTTGAGACATTTCTCCTCCATCTTTTTGTTTGATGATGTCTGCATGAAAAGTGGGAGTCAGTGGGATTCATCACCTGGAAACCATGAACGCTTGCGCCAGTCTGAGTGGGTTCGGTACCGTTTGACAGATACGTGACGTGGTCGACTGTGAATGCTGGGCGTTACGAGCAGAAATATTCAGATTCAACACATTTCTGAACATGACTTATTGATGCTGCAGAGTTGCCAATTGGAGCTGGTTGTCATGGAAACAGTGGCACAAAAAGTGGCACACACACACACACAAGAGTAACTTCCTGCGTTTCTTGAGGAGCTATTTTTAACGGGGTATTATATAAGCTGCGCTCAACCACAACGCGTTATCTTTCCTCCATCCTGGGAGCACAAAGCGCCGTGTTTCCCCGTATCCCGACTCACGAGCACCGCTAATGGAAAACAAATTTACTAATTCATCATCATCCCCACCATCACCCTTCTGCAGAAACGGCTCGCGCGGGGAAATGTGCATCTTTCGTCATCATTATGGCGGTTGTGAGACAAGAGGAGGTCAATTTGAATCTGACCCCCTCCCTGTCTCCCCCTGCAGGATGCTTCGAGTGCTGCATCAAGTGTCTGGGCGGGGTGCCCTACGCCTCGCTGGTGGCCACCATCCTCTGCTTCTCGGGCGTGGCCCTGTTCTGCGGCTGCGGCCACGTGGCGCTGAGCGGCACCCTGACCATGCTGGAGAACCACTTCTCCACGGTCACCACGGACCACGCCACCCTCGCCATGGTGTAAGTGGAGCGCCGCCGCCGGCTTCACACCAAGACTTGTTTAAATACTTGAGGAGCGGAATGAATCATTGATGTTTGCGCAGAAAGCCTTGAAACAGCTCTGGATGCCGGTTATTAAATCTGTCGAGGAGAACCGCCATGATTCACACGCCAATAAAACAATAGTAAACGTCTCCCAGCTCATGTGAACGTTCTGAACAAAGATCGTGAAAAGTAATCGCCTTGATTTACGCGCTCTTTTTCAATGTTTCAAAGTTTTATTTGGGTAACACCCTTCAAAGTAATCAAATGCAATTCATAGGGAATTACCAATGTTTGACACAAAGTGGATGCTAAAATAAAGAAAAGGAAGACAAAAATAATGAATACGTGTGGCGTGGTTGAATGGAAAAATTAAGCATTAAAGCAAAATTAAAAATTAAAGTAAAATTCCAAGACACTGTAAAATCAGACTAAGGAACAAGCACAAGATAAAATCCTGATTGAATGAGTCAAAGACCAATCATGTACATGCAGCACATGTTGACATGTGAAGTCTGTCGTGGTTTTAATGTAGGCGTGTTTGTCCCCGAAATAAAAAAATAACTTTTTTTTTTTATCATGAAATGGAATAAATTGGCGTATCTAATGTGTCTTAATCAGAAAAGCTACATTTGGAATAAAGCTATGTTGTTGATGTTGTTGATGCTTCACATTGTGCGTGTGTCCAGGATCCAGATCTTTCAGTACATCATCTACGGCATCGCCTCCTTCTTCTTCGTCTACGCCATCCTCCTGCTGGCCGAGGGCTTCTACACCACCAGCGCCATCAAGAAGGAGCTGCAGAGCGACTTCAAGACCACCGTCTGCGGACGCTGCATCACGGCCTTCGTACGTCGACGCACGCACACAAACAGCTGCTGCAGATCACCACGGCGACTGACCCAGATACACCCAATGAAAGCCCTCTGAATGAGACGGAGTCACTTTGCTGTGTATTTTATGACGCGCTTGCTTTAAAATAGTGTTTTAAAAAAGGAGCCCAACACGAAATCTGTCCCTTTCCGGCTCTCCTCAGTTCATGTTCCTGACCTACATCCTCTTCCTGGCCTTCCTCGCCATCTTCGGCTTCACGGCAATACCAGTCTTCCTCTTCTTCAACATGTGGACCACCTGCGCCGCCATGAAGGCCCCCAACGCCAACATCACCTCGCCCGACTCCATCTGCGTGGACGTCAGGCAGTACGGTGAGTTCCTCCCACATGTACGGGGGGCGGGGCATAAATGAGGCATATAAAAGAACCGTTAAACCCCCCTAAACGTTCGTGTGAGGTTGTACAGTATGATCAACCTTATTGGCCCGTCTCAGTCTTCATCCCACTACGGTAGTTTTTATGGTTTGCGGGTTTTGTTTTGAACTTTTTTCATTCCTCATGTTTCCTCGACTTTGCATCTGGGTCAGGTGACGAACGTTTGACAGGTGCATTCTGTCCCACTGCCCGTTTCTTACTTCTGATTTTAAAAGCTGACAACGTTGACGGAGGCTCACGAGAGTCGCCCGCTGTCTCCATTGAATCAGGGAGGGCAAGTCAAGCCGTGTTAGATAGGATTCGTTCCCCTCGGTAACGGTAAATCTTTATTCCTTCGTTCTAATAAGTAGCCACAAACAACCCCCCCCCCCCCCAAGCTGTGTTCCTCGGCTCACCCTCGAGGCGCTGCGTCCAGGCCGAGCTTTATACTGCTGCTCCGTTCACACCTGATCTAATTAGTGCCGACACCATTTGCAGCGGAATTGGATCAGGTGTGCAGAAAGAACATGTTTACACCAAAACAAGCTATGATTTCCTCTTTTAATCGACGTCATGCCTGCAACGCGGCTCTGGGGAAATGAGGTCTTTGTTGTGAGAAGCATAAAACGGTTTATATTAGTTTTTGAGTTTAGCTTTTAATTTGTCCACCAGTGAGGAGTGAGTCCCCGGTTTCCTTAACAATACACCCGCGTGTCAAGAAAATCCCGCCTACGTTGACAGATTCCGGGTTAGATTTAGTGATTAGAGAGGCGCTCCACCCAAGTGGTTTCATTTGCAGCTGAAGAAAAAGAAACTATAAATTTCTCTGATGAAGGCGAGCGAGCTCCGAACGTTCCGGGCCGCCTCGGCAATAAAATCTTATAACTTGCACTCGTGTGGAGACCAAAATGTTCAGAGAATCCTTTTCTGCAAGCCTTCCACCTCACACGTTCATCTGCAGCTCCGCTCTGCTTCAAATGTCATTTTCTACACACACAGAGATTATTGAGAGCGGGATTGATGGAAATCCATCTTCCTGTAGTATTAGTGCCCCAGTAACGCTCTGCTCTGATTGCATATCAGTGTGATGGCCCAAACTGCAGGACGTGACCCACATTTGAGGGACAGCTGGCCCGTTTGCAAAGTAGGACATGGATCGCATATGCTCCACTGGCAGCCGTACTCTACGACACTGCAGCAAACGTCAACCCCAATTACTGGCAGTCATCAAGTTATTATCGGGGCGAAAGGTTTTGACAGCTTCCTAGTTTGAATTTATTTGTGGTGATAATATTAATGCAAAGGCGAAAAGGCAACGGGGGATTATAATGAGCCGATAGTGGGCAAGAAAAACGGAAAGAATGACCCATATTTCTCGTGTAGGCTCAGCCGCCCTGTTTCCTTTAATCTTTAATCCAAGCTTGATTCATAATGCCTTCAATCACAGCCTCGGGGGAGGAAAAAAACCCTTTTTGTCTCGCGGCCGTCCTCTGACTCTCCGTCCCTCTGACCCTGCAGGTGTTATTCCCTGGAACGCCACTCCGGGAAAAGCCTGCGGAGCCACTCTGGGAGACATCTGCAACACCAGCGAGGTGAGGGGCCTCCGGTCCTTTTTTCTCCTTTTTTCCCCCGTCCCCTCCGTCCCTCTCTGACCGTGTCCTTGCGTCCACAGTTCTACCTGTCCTACCACCTCTACATCGTGGCGTTCGCGGGCGCCGGCGCCACCGTCATCGCACTGGTAAGCCTGCTGATAAATCTGCTCAATACAAAGAAAAAAAAAAGAAAAAACGCGTTGCCATGGCGCGCTTGCCCGTTGCCGCGGCAACCCCGCCTCTCACGGGGCTTGTCGGCGTGCCCGTCCTGCGCTGCCGCGTGAGCGCGGGTGGACGGGGTCGGCGTTGGGCTCCGCTGTGGAGGCGGACTGCTTTGTTTCCGTGTCAAAGGGAAGGAGATGCTGAAAAAAACCCAGCGAGCAGATGTAGCGTTGGCCGACGTGAAGCCGTCTCTGCACTACGAGGAGGGAGATACGCAATAGCCTTTAAAAAAAAGACCATTAAATGTGTATTTAAAATATTTAGCGGTGTTCATATCAACGCACTTTTCCCTCTGAGTGATGAGGTTCATTTGGGCGCCCCGCAATCCTCAGTCCGTCCACGCCTTGTAAATTAAAAACCAACTAAAGTCAGGTTTAGTTGAAAAAACTAAATTGATTGTCCCACAATGCATTGCACAGAGGAAGTGCAGCTCCCGGCTGCGACACAATAAAAGCATGGCTCGCTGTGAAGCGGCTTTTTACAATGTTTCCGCAAATGACTTCCAGCTGCTGCACCTCTTCTTGTGCGCATTGCATTGTGGGTGAGCAGCCCCCCCACACTGTAAATGTGTGTTTTCTCTTCAGATCCACTACCTGATGATTCTGGGGGCCAACTGGGCCTACCTGAAGAGCGCCGTCTCCACGCACGAGTACCAGGACATCAAGACCAAGGACGACCAGGATCTGGAGGCCGAGGCGCGCTCCAAGGAGGGCCAGAACTCCTCCTCCTACTCATAAGGACATTGTCTCCCGCCGCACCTCCACCCGGAACCTCCCCACCCCCTAAACTCCCACCTCTCACTCACCTGGCAACAACACAAACCCCCGCCCCCACTTCCCCGACTTCCCCAGATCCTGCATCCTCTTCCCCTCCACGAGGAGTCGCTGGCTCCCACCAGGCGGGCAAGGGGGGGGGACGGGGACGGGGAGGGGGGGAGCCGTGGCACCCCCATACACCTCCCTCCCCCAATGGAGGCAGGCGCTTTCGGAGCGGGAGCGCTGCGGGACGTCGGTTTTCGGAAGCTGCGATGGGCCCTGAGCCCCGGCACCACCTCTCAAAAAAAAGAAATAAAAAAAACATTGTTTCACTGCTTCAGCCGCAGGCGAAGCCGGGCGGCGACCACCGTCCTCCATCTTTTTTTTGGTGTTTTATATGCATATATATATGGATATGAATATATTGTGCGAATGTGTACGAATGTTGTTGTTTTTAATACTCTCTGGAAAGTATGACAGGTACTTTTACGACCTTCTTTACGCTCACTGGGTTGGTTGTTCCACCCCCCCCCCCTCCCCCCCTCACCTTATTCTCCATTTTGGACTTTTTTATGGCCAACGTTCAATACGTGGTTGCACTGTTACCAATCAAAAATATTAAGCAGAAAGCCCCCCACCCCCCACTCAATACTGAAATCACGTGGTTTCTAAGATTATCATTGTGCATTTAATTCATCTGCTGAGAGACGTGTAGCAGCCTCCTAACAAGGGAATATTTGGGGGAAATATGCTTATTTGCTGTCACGTCAAAGATGAGACCAAGCTCTAAAAACAGAACACTGTATGATGAAACATCACCAGCGGCATCAGAGATGAATCCATTCAACACACACCTCAGGAATCAAAGCCAATCTGATTCCAGTCAGTCGTGTTCCTTTTCCAAAAATCCGACCATCTAAACACAAACCGCCGTCCTGCGCGAATTATACAGTAAAAAGCCGTGTTTCTAGCTTTTTTTTTTTAATTCCCCCTTTTCACCTGTAGTGCACCTGTAAATATCTGAACCGCCCCCAAAGACCAGGAGTCCCACCTCGTCCCTGAAAGGTGGAGGACGCCATCAGTGCTCCGCCACGGTCCTCTAGTCCTTGATCCTTTTTTTCCACTCATGTAAATGTTCCCTTTTGAGACGTGTGTTCAGCACTCAAATTACTAGTTCTGCATTTGATATGATAATTGTAGTGTAACACCATAAATGAAATGTCGTGAGAGGGATGCAGTGCAGTTATGAAATGACGCGGTGGGTTCAGGTGCTTGTGACGTATACATTTAAAAATGTGATAAAAAAAATATATATGGATTTTTAATGTTTTATCAGTTTTAGGCAGCTGAGTTCTTCTTGTGATTCAGTAATTATGATTTCATGGACCTTTTTTTGTGCTTCAACATGTGAGTTGAGAGAAAAAAATGAACTTTTCTTTTTCTTTCCTTGAGTTCTTTTGACGTCTCGCGTCTCTCGTGAGCCACGGAGGCCGTTCTGGATGTTTACACTCGGAAATAAAAGTCAGGAATTTTCATACATTGATTTTATAATCAGATTTTGCTTAATAATCATGGACTATATTCTCTATTGATCATCACTGGTTAGTTTACCCTAAAAAAAAACAATGAAGAAGACAAATATTTGAACTCTGATGAGATGAAGCATGTCAGTATCGTCCATGTGTGCAGCTGTCATTTCTTTATAAAAAAGGACTATATTGCCATGTGTGTTATGTTTGATAAATATTCGTACTTTGCCACCAGGTTGATGTAAAGGCAAACTTCAATTTCCTGTGAGACGACGCGTGTCGGGGTGTTGTTGTTTCCTCGTTATTTGCATGAAGGAGACATGACTGTGTCTTTGCAGTTTATCAGGTGATGTGTAGTCAATCGTACTGACAACTATGGTAGGCGGTGTTTCCCCCCCCCCACCTCCACCCGCCCTTTTCTAAAGAAAACTCCATTGTACTTTGATGGCATTGTAGTCCCTGTAGTTGTTTCATTATGGTTTGGATTTTTTAAGTTGGAAATAGTTCTATGACTCCTATTTAGTGATGATTTTTGTAACCTTCTCTAGTAAAACCGATATTTTTTATTATCGTGACACCGCTGTCTGCCGTCTCGTTCTTGTGTTTGGGTCTCTGACGTGGAATTCATTTCTACCGCTTTGTGGTAAGAAATACACATTGAATATATTCCTGTAGAGCCGCAACGACGGATTATTTACTTGAATTATCTATAAATTGTAATGAAAAAGATGTATCTAAATTTCCCAGATTGATTTTTATGTTTTTCTCAACCAATAGTCCAGAAACAGTCAGAGTTCCTTACATGCAAGAGGAGGATTTACACGATTGACAAATCAATTCTCAAACTTGACCTGTTCATTTTACTCGGGTTATTTCAACACGAAGCAGCTGGCAAATTAATTGTGACACGAATAAATAAATAAAACATCCAACATTTTTGAGGGTTGGTAGTGTTTGTGTGCTGGAATCAAGCAGTGACTCGTGCAACAGGTGAAAGCTAATTGGCTTAATTGGCTTGATTGGCTCACCAGCTGATTTCACTCTCGCTGGTTCGTTAGCGCCTGTGAGCCGACCAGCTGGATTTGATTGACATCTCCATTGTTGGAAAAGGAGAACTTTCAGAGCTGACCACTGAATTCAACACTGCTGCCTTTTGCCTTTGAGGTGGAGAACAGCCACGCGCTGCTGGCGCCACCTCGTGGACAAAGATGGAACTGCGTTTAAACTTTTAAGCACAAAATAAAGAATGATTTTTCTCCAGTTCCATTGTTGGAAGCTTTACGGTGTCATTTGTCCTAAAAGGAAGAAAATTCATTGCAGTAGAAAAGAAAAATATTCAGAAATCCTTTGACAGTGAAATATATATAGTGTGTAATCTAAGCCTAAAGTAGTCAATCCCAATAATAAACTTTCTTATCCGTTATTTGATTAACCAAATTTTCGGTACCGTTGCAGCACTTCATTCAACATAGATAAGTTAAGTACCAAATCTCAATAATACTTCTCCTTCAGTGGGCTAAAACCTGCAACCGCAGCTTCGTCAGTAGTGTATTTTCAGCCGCTGATACAATAGAGTTCCTCACTCACGCCAAACAAAGCTTTAAAAAGCCTCAGAACCACCAACTGTCCCTTGATGCTAGGTATAAATGAATATTCCTAAAATAGGACCATCATGTCAGGAAATGAAGACCGAGCAGTTTGTGAGTCCCTTGTGTGATGGAAATGCTGAACATCGCCACAAAACATCAGTCAGTTTTGATCTAAAAAAAATGCTTCCACCACTTCCTCTTTCTCCGCCAAACTGACGAAGCGCCCGGCGAGCCCCCGCGGCGGGTCACTCGGGCGGCGCGTCACTCGGGCGGGGCGCCACTCGGGCTCAGCAGCAGGTGGAGTCGGGCGCACTCTTCCTCTGCAGGTTCACCGTGTTGGCGTGAACCAGGCGATCGGCCCCGTCGTCCGCCGCCAGGACGCGACGCACCGCCTCCTCGAAGGCCGACCCCACGTTGGTCGCCTCCTTGGCGCTGGTCTCGAAGTAGGGGTGGCCGCCGTTCTCGCGGCACCACTGGCGAGCGTCCTCCCCCGACACCTGCCGCTCCGGCACGTCCAGCTTGTTGCCCAGCACCACGAAGGGGAAGCGGTCGGGGTCCTTCACGTCGGCGTAGTAGGCGAACTCCTTCTTCCAGTTGGACAGGTTGCTGAAGCTCTGTCCGTCGTCCACGCTGAAGGTCAGCAGGCAGCAGTCGGAGCCGCGGTAGAAAGGCGTGCGCAGGCTGCGGAAGCGCTCCTGGCCCGCCGTGTCCCAGATCTGCAGCGTGACGCGCCGGCCGTCCACCTCCAGCTCCTTGTTGAGGAACTCCACGCCGATGGTGTGGAGGAGGTGCGAGTCGAACTTGCTGGTGACGTAGCGGTTCATGAGCGAGGACTTGCCGACGCCGCCGTCCCCCAGGAGGATCACCTTCAGGAGGGGCGACTTTGACATCGTGGACTCGATGCCGCTGCTCTGCACCAACGACAGAAAGTTTCACTATTTTCTGACGTTTTTATATACCTGGTTGATTTGTGATGGGTTCATAAAGAATTCACAGGGATTCTAATTTAATAGTGAAGTAAATATATATTTAGTTTTTAACTAATGTTGGTCTTGAATGAAAATATTGCCCGCCACTATCACGTCAGACTTACTTTCATTGGTTCTGACCTTTGGCCACACTGATAAAGTTGAGCTGGAGATAAGAACAACCTGCTCCGCTAACATCACGCAGCTTCTAACTGTGTTCTCATTCCTTTGCATTCGGACTGGAAGGAGAACTGATTCATTCCAGGCTTAAATCTAATCCGCACTACGACATGGAGGCCGATCACGGGACCCGCGAGGCGCCCGCAAGCGATCCGACAGAAACAAAAAGAGTAACTCACCGTTACAACACCACGCGGTTCATGTTGTCACCAATCTGTAAGAGACCGAGAGAAGTTCTCCCACTCGCAGGCCGAGCTGCCAAGAGAAGACAAATCTAAATCAGCCACCCCGCGTGTGCATGTATAACATCCCAGTTTAGAGCAGAACGAGGTGACGTTGGTTAAGTAAGCGCTTTGCTGTGAGATCCGTCTGCAGTGTGCGGCCGGTCGGGCCGACGTGGGCCTGAGAGGTTCGGCCGGACTTTAAGCCGGTGGAGGAGTTGAACCTCACGGCCTCAATGCAGCGGAAGCTTCGTGAATGAGGCCTTTGTCCTGAGACCTTTGACCCCAGCAGACTGAGAATATCTGTCATTTCATTCAGAAGTGACCACACGAGTCATGTGCTTCCTTCAGCAGAATGATCCATGTTTAAATAAAAAACTACTCTTTTGAATATAAAAGAATATAAACATGCGACCACACCCTTTAATTTAAACCTAGAAGACATTTGTGTAGAAGTTAAAGACCAGATATGCTCAATAAGCAGGAAAGTATTTACTTAAGTTAAACAATAGCACGTTTACTATCAGTGAACAGTATTAATGAGACTTATAACAACTTGGGAACAAACAGGTGTCGTGACAACAGTTTAACTTTACAGGAAACTTTGGTAAAAGTGAGGAACATTTATTTTTTAAATAATGATTCTGTAATGACGTTGAATTAGGTTGAGGTTTTTAGCAAACCTTAGCAAACCCGTATATCTCCTGAATACATTTTACTACTGTTATCAGAAGGTTCGGATGCATTAAAGAACATTAAGACACGATAACAAAATACACTAAATTGTTCACGGTGCGGAACCGGGAGATCCGCCTCACCGAGTTCAGTTCGTGAGCTTAAGTTAGCATAAACTACCCCGCTAAAGAGGCGGTTATGACTGTAAAACCAGCCAACACTTTCATTAACCACATTCATTGCATATTTAAAACTTACAGTTGTGTTCAGTCGTCGATATTTCGGGGGAATGGCGGAGAGAAGCGAAGGAAAAGAAGGTCTGTCCGTTAATGGAAGCACCGCCGTAAACCGTTTCCGTTGGTTAGCTGTCCGATAATGGGAGCCGTTAGCCGTTGCACAATGGCCACTTCACTGGTCGCTTAAAAGCAAGAGAAAGTCACCATTTTAGACATAAAAGTCTTTATCCGTCCTGCGGTCGCCGCACCTCCTCGCGTGTCGCTCACTGCGCGGCTCCGGCGTTTAAAACCCCCACGTCCGTCCCGGTCCGCGTTCCGCCGGTGACGCGGCGCCCCGGAGCCGCTCATGAGGCTCACATGACCCGCACGGCGTCGCGCCGCGTCACGCGCCGCGCTGGATGCCGTTTCCCCCGCGCTTTAGTTTACAATCAAAGGAAGAATGTTTTAACCTACAGCCGGGTTAACCCAACGTGGACCCCCGAACGAGTCCCCCAACGAGTCCCCCAACGAGTCGCCCAAAGAGCTTTTATCTATTATCTCCATGAAAAACACAACAGGATTCTTCCACTACTCCAGACGATGGAAACAGGTGTTCTTCAATGGTTTCACCTTTGTTTTTAGGGGTCAGAAGCAGGAGGTAAATGTTGTGCAGCACTTGATGTTCAATAAATGCTTTTCTGCAGGCTTCAAGCCTCTGAATGTTGGTAAGGAGGCTCTGTGTGTATCTGTGGGGGGTATAAATAGTCTGGAAGGCCAAACCGGCCCGCGGGCTGGAATCTGTCTCCCAACACGACGCTCGAATTACAGGGTGCATCTGAAAGGAGACTCCGATCGGCCTGATAAGATATTGCGAGCTCCATGTCTGACAAGCACAGCAATGGGGATCATTTCAAACGGCACGTTAAAGTCTCACTACAGATATTTCATTTAAAAAGAAGAAGGCCTCATTAAAACAAGATCCATGAAACTCTTCAACCTGCACCTATGGCGATGACGCCATGATGACGTGCGGACCGGCCACCGTGCCACGTCGACTGAGTGAAGCAGCCCAGGGGCTGCTCGGGAGGGGGCAGATTACCCGCTCACATGCCCACCGCTTCCTGAGGTCACATGTTCTCCACATGAATGGGATGTTGTAGGAGAAGCGAGGCACATGTTTTCCTCTTCTCCTCTCAAAAAGGAGTTTTAACCTTCAAAGGAAACGTGACTCATGGTAAATGCAAAAGAAAACACTTTCTTCCTTTGGCATCAAGGAAATGATAGATTAGCTTGATCAAAGGTCAAAATCGGGACATTTCTCTGAGCAGAAAGTGTTCACTTAAAAAAGAGGCTCCTGGAAAAGTAGTCAGCTATTATAAAGTATAGATTCACCGGAGGAGACGGGAAATGATTCAGCGGGAAGAGGATGGAGAGAGCTACTTCTTTAAAAGTGGTTTCGGAATGCAGCTGCAATAAATAGTAGACAGTGACTGGTCTTTTTTTCCGTTTACTGGTAAATGCCCACCCAACATAAAGGATGCATCCTAAAAACATGTCTTGTTTAAATCCCAAACATGTGCTCCATGCCGAGAAAAGGCTCTGTCCTTTGTGTCCGCATCCCTGGGACATTCCTCCTCTTTCAATGTTGCAGAAAATACTCGACACATTTAAGAGGCTGCAGAAAAGTATAGTTATACTGTTATTGGAGTATTTAAACAAACACGTTGGGCTCATTTTGCAGCTCAAGTCGACATTTTCAAGTGACTACAACAGGAACCACGAGAACAATGTTTTTATCACTGCAGGTTTCTCAATCCATGCCAGAGACTTTGCACATTCATTTGGGTCGACACTCGTATCTAGAGGCAGACCCAGCCGCTGTGGTACCACTGCTGCCCACAAGCGCTGCAGGTCACAAAGGTCACGGCGTCCTCGTCGGGGCCGCTCTGCCTCACCCACGCTGGCAGGAAGAGGGTCCCCCTGGACACCTGCGTCACCCGACAGTCCGACCCCCCGCATCTTTTGCAGCGGATCCTCTGCGTCGGCGTGCCTTCGACCCCTCGAGGGAGCTGCCTCTCGCTGACCCCCCGGGACGAGTACTCCTCCCTGAGCTGCCGCAGCTCCGCGTTGGCCATCTCCTCCGCGGACATCCGGGCGAAGGCCTCGGCCGACAGGGAGCCGCTCAGGAGGCCCCGGGCCAGGTGCCGGTTTTTAGGATTCCTCAAGTTGGCCACCTTGCTCCTCACGCGTGCTTTGTACTTGGCGGGTTTGTGGAGCTCGTGGATGTGCCGCTCGATGTCGCCGGCCAGCTCTGCGGCCGCGCCTCCGTCGGGAAGTTGGGGGCGGAGGGCAGCGAGAAGGAGCTGAACACATTTGGATCTCACGGGCGAGAAAGCGCACGACGCGGATGGGCCCTGTGCTGAGGAAGAAAGGCCGGCTTCCGCCGCCGGGGAGGAGGCTTCTTGTCGCGCACGCTTGGCTCGGCTGTTGCCTGTCTGTGCTGAATCAGCGCAGGTGTCTCCCCCACCCTCGGCCTCCTGCGGGGGAGACATCCGGCGAGGGAGGCCGGGGGGATCCTCTGGGCTCTCTGTCTGCACGGCACAGTGGACCATCTCCTCTGCATCCATGGTGGCTGCAATCAGAGAGACAAGATGCTTAAACAGAAAAATGAGACCTAAACAATAAATATATGCAACGCAATAAAAAGTGATTTCGAGTTTGTGCACCATTCAACGGTTATAAATACTGCTCTTTTACCTGCAGTCCCCACTTCACACGAGCAGGAAGCCAGGAAACGTCTGCGAGGGAGCAGCCATGTTGGATCGGTGTGAGAAACATGAAGTGGCCCAAAGTCCCCTGTAGATGGCGGCGGAACCTCACAGAGCGACGTCCCTCGCGAGGCCTTTGGGCTCGTGTGACATAAGTTTACGATGCAGAAACTCAATGGGCCGGAGGCTGAGAACTGATGCCACCTGTTTTGGTTACATTTCTGTTTCCTGTAATGCGTTGGACTGCGGGCATTATTCTGCAAAGGAGGCATAATTGTGAGCCCGAGTGTCATCCTGAATCCTGTAATCCTCCTTGTGGTATTTTTGTGGTGTGTCGCATCTGTTATTGTGTCACAATAGCAGGGCCTCGCAGTTGTGCTGTGGTTTGTGCAGAATGTACAGTGGGATTAGCTCTTTTTGGGAGGATTTACTTGCGTGCCTTTAGCTCTGGCAGGTTATTGCACATTTAGAAACCACTCTAGATTTCTGTGTATTTTCATAACCCCCTTTTTTTTAATATGTTGACAATAACCACAAAGCTGGATTAACAGCGTAGGCGGAAGCGAGGGTATGTATTCCTATTAATCTCTGTGATTGTGACTATTGGTGTCTCTGCAGGGTTGTGATGCTGGGTTTCTGCGTGCAGAAACAAGTAGCGCTCACATACCAAACAGTTTGCAGACCAGAATTCTTCAGAAGAGCGGACGTTATTGCAGTACGAGATGAGGCAAGCCTCCTCGGCTGTTCTGCAATTATATGTTACTGAGGAAGAAGATGAATGACTCTGCAGGATAATTCATGGTTGTGAGGCTTAGAAATGTTTGCGTGCGTTTTGAAACCTCGACATCGGAGAGAGACGATTTAGCTGTTAGAAGCTCCTCAGAGCCGGTTTGATATAAGCACACACTGTTTTGTTTTTTCAATTTGCGCATGTATTAATTCAACACGATTTGAATGTGGAAAGCACGTCACTGAATGTGGCAACAACATGTGAGTGCAATTTAGGGGCCGGGTGTAAAGTATTCATGGAAATGGGGGGATTATGTTTGGCTTTTTAAGTCATTGATTTTTCTTTTTGTTGTTGCGATTTCCACTTTCGAATTGAGAAAAAAATCAACTTCCCCCATTTAAGAGAGATTTCAGCCTGAAAGACACTTTAATAACACAATTTTGTCTTTTGTCTGATGTTTATCTGTCAGGGCGTATTTAATGGTTGCTGCCTGTGAATGAAAAGAAGGCTGCCTCGCTCCACGGGAACCACATATTATTTATAACATGAATAAAAGCAGCTCCATTAATCAAAGGTTGACCCCTCCCATAGATGTTATTATTCACACAAAAATAACTCCTTGACATATGAACAGCTTAGCGGGGTGCCATTATGTAACCTGAGGTATGACATCACCCTCCTTGTCTAATATTTAAAATCTGCACTCAAGACTGATGCAGCAGGGACAATGGCGGCGGAGGCCTGCAAGGGAGCACTGATGGGGTTTCTCTCCCCGCAACAAACGGCCGACTCCCAAGCTTTCAAACGTTGGATGTGCAAGTTTTTGTTGCTTTCTGTTTTTTTCGGTGCGTGTGTGTGTCCGTGCAGATGGGTGGGGTCCAGCTGGAGTGAAGCAAAGAGACAAAACCCTCTTTTGTCGGTCTGACACTCTGCAGACCCCCCCCCCCCCATTCCCCCCCACCCACCATGTCTTGTGATTCTCCAACCGCACACGACTGGAATGCACAAAGGGACACACAAGGCCTCCTGGGATCTTATCAGGTATTTTCACTCCAGCCTGTTGTGCTCTCTTGTCCGTGGGAGTGGAATTTTACCGGCCGTGGCGTCCATTCGCCAACGGGTGGCGCTCTCTGCTCTGCGCTGACTTCACTGGAGCTGCACCTCTGGTGCAGACACTTGATGGCATGTAGGGATGAGTGCGCACACACTCACACACACACACACACACACACACATTCACTACCTCTCGATAAACACCGAGGAGGCCTCTCTTGTTAAAGTGATCAGTTTCTTCATGGACAGACATTCATGACAACAGGGTAAATGCCCAAGAGACCCCCCCTCCCCCCCCCACCTGAGAACACCGCCGACGCACACAACTATACAGCACGAGTGGCACAGCAAATGAATGAAAGGTGGTCACAAAGATGGAACGACAAGTCGCCCCTCCCCCTCCCGCCTGGAGTTTCTTTGTGTCTCATTGTCAATGACAGTTAACATTATTATTGTAGGAATGTACACATGTTATCGAGGGGGAGGGGAGGTTACAGAGGGGGGAGGGTTGTGTATTTTCGGAAGAGAGAAAAACTTTCCCATCACACTGAACGCTGTGTCTTCATTTCCTCTTTCACTTCGGCGTCGAAAAAGAGACCGTTACCTTCAAACTGGCCTTTGTTCCGTTTGCTAAATTTAAGACTCTCGATCTGCGTGGACTTTGCGTTCCACAAAAGCATCTTATTTGCCTTTTTCAGCCATTAATGCTGGAATGAGTTTTGCTGATTAAATGCTGGGTGAAGATGACTCTATTTATCATGAGAAGTGAGTTGTATCCTGTTCAACATATTTGTGCAGATGTTATCGGTCTGAAATAAGGTCAAAGAGTCACGCTGCAGGAGGAAAATTTACTTCTATTCTGCATCTGAGCTAAATGGCCTTTGACATGTGGTGCGTGAGCGAGGGGGGCGGGGGGGCAGCCATGACCCATCTCACACACACACACACACACACACACCCATCACGACCTTGAGGGTGATAACAGACGACTGAAGTGAACCCTTTTTTTGTTTCCTTTCATTCTGCTTCGATTCGACTCTCTGAAATGTTTCTATTTTCAGGGTTGCGGACCAGACAACGTGTCACGGCTTCTATCTGGTGCTTCTTACCAATCTCGCATCGCTTCCGGCAGGAAGTGAGACTCCCCTAAACATGCAACCACCAACACCAGCGACTGTTGTGTCTATTTCGGTTCAACATTGCCCTTTTTTTCTCCTGTGAGACTGTCAGAGCCAGTAACAATAAGGAAGTGAGTGTGAACAACAGTCACACAAAACATTCGTGCCGCTTCTGGCATTTTCTTGCAGTGTGATCTGTGTCTCTTACACACACACACACACGCACACACCAGACACATGGCCGGCCTTATGGGAAATCCCACCACCCCCGAAATAACGGCGGCCTCCACTGACGGCCATCAGTAACGGAGGGGCGAGGCTCCGAGGGCCCGCTGTGCACAGGTGTGAGGGGCCGCTGTTTGCATCAGATTACCGGTTCCAGAGTACCAGTTATTCTCATTATGGCTAATTAGTGGCCTTTTGTGAGAGACCTGTCAGGGATTCATTTTCATAAAAAGCTGTAACTTCAACGTCAATTATCCATACGACAAAGTTCATAAAGGTGTGTTCAAGCACCTTGAAGATAAGAGCTGAGTGTTCTTTTGTCTCGCCGGGCGGCGCCTTGTGTGGGAAGGACCACCGCCACACAAGGCTTTTTGTCTGATGCGACCATATCTTCAGATATGAACAAGAACTTTGCTCCACAATTCTCTGTTGCTGCTAAACTTAAGGCCAAAAGCGTCTCCGCACAACACAACGATCCAACTTGCACGTGCATGATGTATTTATTTTCCAAAACAGAAATGACGGAGGCTGCACGTACCGTCCTTCTAGCCTCTCCACCCCCCCTCCTCTCCCCCCTCCTCTCCACCCTCCTCTCCCCTCTCCTCTCCCCCCTCCTCTCCCCCCTCCCTTCTCTGGTCATTTCCGTTGGGTGATTGAGTGAGTTCCAGAATTCCCACAGTAAAGACTGGCGGGCCTGCAGTGCGTTCGGCCAGGACGCGTCTTTACCCGTCTCGCCTCTCCCTCTTCTCCTCATTTCCTGCTCCCTACCTTCCTCTCTTCTTCTCCTCATTTCCTGCTCCCTACCTTCCTCTCCTCTTCTCCTCCTGCCGCCCTGGCAAAGCCAAACGCCATTACCTCCACATTCTCCACTTCTCCCCTCGCCGTCTGATGGACGCACGATCAGCAGCCTTAGCAGGAGGAGCGAAGTGGTGCGTGAAAAGTGGGAAAGAGTGTGGGATGAAGTGTGTTCACAGACACACAAACACACACACTTTTTATTGGATGCATGTGTTTGTGTGCGCGCTCCCACAGATTCCTGCCGGGTCATGTGGCGAAGACGTTAGCAGCCAAGTGAGAGCAGGAGTCACCACCTCTCTCTCTCTCTCTCTCTCCCCCTTTGTCCCGTAAGTAATCAATAGAGAAACGCGCTGCAACCACGACACACACTGTTTGGTTTGAGTCTGGAGACGAGAAGCCAGCAAACAGATTAGGTGTCAAAAATAAATAAATGAGGTGCGATCACACCCTGAATCGTCTGCGTTCAATTCCGTCATCATCTAAATGGCAACATATCAGTGATTAAAGGGAGACTGTGTTAGGCAGTGAGAGGAGATGAGTCAAACTCCCTCCTGCAGACGGAAAGCTGAACTTATACAAAGCGCACGCGCACATTTCACGTTTTACACACAGCTTATAATGTTGGCATCTGAGGGAAGATGCTGGGGAACTGATTTTAATGAGTTCTATCTCCCCACCCATCGTAATTTTAGGTAACGATGCTTCATTCTCTGTTACCTCCTCCCCATCCAACCACAGAGTATCGGTAAATAATATGGCGTTCCCTTTTAAAGGAAGGAGAAAAGGCTGCAGAGGTCAAGCAAACCTCTCACACGCGCTGGGTGTGAACGCACACGACTGGACATCACACACATTCGATAAGCCTCTGCTGCCGCCCCGCTGCTTCTGCAAATAGTTGACCTCTGAACTGCTCGCCGCGTGGAATGTGTGTCAGACGCAGTTGGTGGTTGGCCGAATTTCATCCCTTTCTGCAGCTGAAACTCCAGTGAGAGGATGAACGCTGCTCTCGCTATCGGGTTTCGGCGTGATAAAACGCACATGTGCACGGTGTAAGCGGGGCGGTCGAGGGCCGCCGCTCTCTTCATTTCGCTTGGCTTTGAACCGCAGTCCTTTGTTGCTCGGCCGATCTGAGGCGAAGCCCCCCCCCCCGCCGCGTCTGACTTCCTCGCTTTCAGCCAGCGTGCAGCACTCGCCTCGGCCACGAAAGGGGAACTTTAAAGTGAGACAAACAGCTCAGAGGAAGTGACACTTGACAGGAGGAAGGTGAGCCGTCGCGCCGTCTACCATCGAGGTGGCTTGCTTTAATCCAGCTCAAGTGGAAACAGCTCAAGTGGTGCAACCTGCCAACAAAGGTTTCTTCTGGGACTTCCTGAAATAAAAGTAATAAAATAGATTCGCACTGACGACAAGTGATATCATTCCGTCAAGTGTGCACGCAATTGTGATTTTTAGCAGGTGAATCTCGTAAGCTTTTTTTATAAGCTATAAAAGCCCCAAATAAATTCTGCCAGCGTCGATTACGGCTTAATAGAAACAGTTAAAGCGAAGACAAATTGACTGTATTAGCCAGCAGTTGCATCAGCAGTTAAGAATTAGTGGATGACTATTCTTGGTAAACGTACCAAAAGCAGTGAATGTTGGGATTTGACAATGTGAGTCGGTGAATCGTAGCAGCTGTGGAAAGAGGGTAAATATTTAATGTCAGGCTGGTTTAGTGGTTCATGAAGCCGCCCTGGCTAAATAAGGCCAAAAAGTGGGGAAAGGAAGGGGGAGAGAGAGAGAAAGAAGGGGAGGAGCAACATAGATGATGTCATGCATTTCACCGTAAAATGAGGGGATGGAGTCATCAGGGGAGAAACACTTACATCAGAGTTTCTCTTTTCTTTTTCTCCCAAATTCCATCGAAACGATGGACGACGGCCACAACGCACACCCTCAATCTGGCCGTTTGTTGCCATCAGAGGAAAGAGGGAAAGAATGAAGGAAGGCGTGTAGGGCCAAAGTCCCGCATGAGGTTCCTATTAAACAAAGACTAAGTCAGCAGTCGACTGCTACGAAAGCGGTTTTTACGATATCTGGTGAGACATTTTGTGGACTGAAGTCTCCACATTAGGTAAACAAAGGCCGGCGGGTTTGATGCAAGTGACGATCTGGAATAATGCATCCAAAGTTGTCTCGGAGCTCATGTGGAGGCTTCTTTGTCCGCCGCTGGTTTTCATTCCGACGCATAAAGACACATTCAGACACATTCAGCCGCTCACATCTGACAAAACAAGCAACAGGAAAGAGAACAGACACCTCCTTGTGTGCTCTCGGCCCCCCCGGTTTGCACAAATAGTTGCCCCCGCTGTTATCAAGCCTGGGTCACACTTCCTGTCTTTCTGCATTGGCGCAAAGGATTCTGGGAATTAGCTGAAGGTACAGGGGGGGGCATCGACCCGCGCCTCCCTCCCATCAACGTTCTCTGCGCCCGCCTCTGCTGGCAACAGGAAGTCAGCGCTCCCACTTCCTCGTTGGCGAGAGCAAATGCAGAAGTGGAGAGTCGCGTTCGGAGGAAGGTCGCTCTCAGTTCTCCATCCGAACCTCTTCGTCTTCTCGCTCCCCGTTATCAGCGCTCAAAGCGTTATCAGCGCTTGTTCTTCTTTTTCTTAGCCAGGGAAACATAACAGACGGGTCATTCTATTGTGTAGCGCACATGTGACTCCCATGAAGCGC